AAAAAAATAAAATCAGAAAACAAAACCACCATTTATACCTCCATGAAAAGTTGAAAAAAGAAGAGGAATAAGGGATTAAAAAATAAATTAAAATTTCAGTACAAATACATCATTTTAAGTAACAATCAAATATACACATTGTTTCGAAGGTTAGAAACACTTCTATCATAAAATTAAAAAAAAAAAAAAAAGGAAACTTATATATAATATTTGAAACTATTAAAAATCTTTGATAATAAAGCATCTTCTAATATAGAAGATAAATAATTTGCAGATGCAATGTCTGTCACCTTCCAGTTAACATATTTATTAATTGCTGTTTTTCTTTATCTTTTTTCCTAACCACGTCGAGGGACCTGTTCTTCCACGAACTTTTTCTTAATTTTATCGGTCTGCTTCCAACATACCTACCTGAAAAATTAAAAACAATTTAATCATAAATATATACTATCCATTTTAAAATGTTGACCTTAAATTTTTAATTTATATTCGTACTATAATTGGTAATTGGTTGACTGTCGTGGATAATGAAGAGAAGAATAGTTGGGGTGCTCAGTCAAAAAGGATGGCAAAAAATAAATTATAATATATTTTTATAATATATAAATAAATTATAAATTATAATTTATTTTTTGCCTTCCTTTTTGACTGAGCACCCTAACTATTCTTCTCTTCATTCTATATTCGTACTAAAGTGTTTGGCTAAAGATTAGTTTATAAAAATCAAAATTAACTTTTGATAGTTATTTATTGTATGTTCCGGGGAATCTGTGTCCTCCTCTTCAACAATCTTAATTAAATTGACCTTGAGGCATACACTTAAGTGTGAATATATATTAATGTTACATCAATCAAGTTGAACGGAAATCAACAATAGTTTAAATTGATGCATGCATAAATATAGGTGTGCACACACGCACTTATGATAAGACTGGTAGAGGGGCATAATTTTCAGCCTTACAATACTCAAGGAAGAGTGTGGTCTACAATATAGTCCAATCATCTGACTTGTTTTGTACTGAGTGGACTTAAGAAAATTCTAACAAGCCAACTGGCAGTAATGACAACAAAAGTTGGTATTGATATAATAAAATAAAACAGATACTTATAAAATAATTCTTACGCTTCTAATAAAACCTAACAGTTACATTATCTGAATTTTATATATGAGCGTTGGAATTTCATGGAGAAGTAATAAATCCCAATTACTATCCTTAAATTCCTACAACTGTGATAAAAGGCATAAAAAAAAATTGAGAGATTTTAAAACTCAGATCGTTCCAAATGAACTATATAGGGTCTAGTGTTTTTAAGCCTTTTAAGATGTACAGTTTTGGAGATATTTCATAATTCTTGTTGAAAGTCTCTTAGATATTATGGTTGCCAAGTGACATGTTTAGGTTTTAAAAATTAAAATATTGCTACTTATGATAATCTTTGATGAATTAAAAATTTATTGAAAAGGTAGATGGAGGAGAGTGAATTAGGGTGAAGGATAGCTATCTAATATGAGAGTTCTATCTGAGGTTAACTAATAATGTACAAAGAAAAATTAATTTATTATTTAATTATTAATAAAAATTATTTTAATTTTAAAAAAATGAAACATATATCATAATATAGTGTAAACATACATCAGTAACAAGGGAGAGGGGCTGTCCTTTTTTACAGCAATACAGATTATTAAATTTTCTAATATCATTTTGATAAACAAGTTTTTGATAATATGAGAGGAACCTGGTCTCGTACAACACACACTACCAAGAACACACACTACCGCCACTAAATTTAGTTTTAACTTTTGTAATTATATAGTTAGAGATGATCATATTCTCTGCCACATCACTTTCCTAACCACACCCACCGTTTATCTCAGTTCATGCATTCTCGCAGAATTCACTGACTTGTTGATCCACAAGCTTAGGCGGAAATGTTGGATTACATAATAAAAATATTTAGACAGATTTCCTGATTACGTATAAATAGGATAATCAAATACCCAAAAAATTAATAATATAAAAATACTCAGTGGTTTAAAAATATAGTTGTATAATAACTAAAATCGTATTAAGATAAAAGATCATTACAATAAATTGTTGATAAAAAAAAATAAAATAAATATATATAAATTAAAAATTGAACTCAGTATTTTTTATATTAATGATTGTTTGTTTTTTCAACACAGTAGCTAAAATAGTTCAACCAAGATACTGCGTTAAATAGGTAAATGAATTGGTTAAAAATAAAAATTGTTATCTTATGTTTATCCAATTAGGTCTAAAAATAGAACCAGACGTTAAATAATAGAAGACAAATTGGAACAAAAAAATGTGAGAGTCTTGACCCTTTGAGATATACAGATATGATCCAATTTGGCGATAAGGGATCATCATTAATTGAAAAAGCTAATAGTTAAAAAGAACTATAAAACTAGCAATAACAATAAATTTAAGTCGAATCGACCAACCATGACATTTCTGATAACGAGGCGCCATCCTTATATCAGTATTACTAAAATGCGATTACTGTAAATGTTCTACATTTAAATCGTAGTTCCGCAAATTCGTTCTCTACTGATCTCATAAAAGCTGTTAGTAACTGCATTTTATTCAGGTAAGATATAGCTTTAAACGAATATATAAAATTAATGCTGATGACAATAAACTATTATGTAACGTTTCAAATTGGGCAAACATCATTAGGAAAATTCATCAATGGAACATACGCCATAAGGCAAAAAAAAATTATCTTGGCTATATATATTGAATATAAATATATTATTATAAAAGTTAAGGTCATCAAATACTTGTTGAAAAAAATAAATATTTTTTTATTAGTAAATAAAGAAAATGTATAAAAATTGTTATTAATTTAATCATCTTAGTGTATGGGAGCATTATCACATGGAATATCAGAAATATGCAATATACAAGTAAATACAATAACAATTAATTTATTAATCAATTGTTTAGAAATTATTAATAAAAAAAAACTGATTGAATTATATTACATTTGCTAATGTTTCATGAGATATAAAAAAAATCCACGAGTTTAAATAATAAAAATTTAATTTGTTAACGGAAAACAACATTCTCTATCAGTCGGGAAAAAAAACTAATTTAATGAGAATAATAAGAATATGAGTAAGGTTTACAAAAGTAGAAACATTAAAGGGTTTTAAGACAAAATTTCCTGCTTAAAACAAAAAATAAAAAACAAACAAATAAAAATTCCACGAGATTAAACAATTCCAAGTATAGTTGTAAACGGAAAAACCAACATTCTCTATCAGTCAGAACAAAATTAGTTAAACAACAAAGTAAGGTTAACAAAAGTAGTAATTTCATGTCTTATGGAATTACAAACTATAAGTATCAGTTTTTCATTAACTTTATTCAAGGTAAGAATCATGTCTGCCCCAAATGCTGAATTTCGGAAACCAAAAGAATAAACAGTCAAATACCATACAAAACACCTTTTTTTTTTTTTAAATGTTTCATCGGTTAATTCCAATAAGTCATGAAGTACTATTTGATAGAACTCAGCTTTTAAGAACTGTTTTTTTGTGTGAATTCTGACCTTATTTAATCATTTAGTTATTAAAAAACAATAGGAAAAAATAGACACATTTTTAATTTAGTTAAGTTTAAACTTATGTCACCTACATAACCTAAAACGAAGTGATACGAGCAGCAAGTTTTAATAAACTTCAAAACATTGTGTCAAACATTATTCTTAAATTAAAATTTTTGTTCAATCTAAATGATATTTCTTTTATTTAAATTTATTGAAGATAGGCGAATAAAATCTTAATATGGTGGAATTTATAGGGTTGGTATGTAAATGTTTTGGTGCACTCCTTGCCTACTATTAAGACAAAAAAGAAGAGGAATTTTAAATGTACTTGTGTAAATGGATACGGAAAGACTGACAAATAGCTATGGATAGTATTTAATATTTAATAATCGCTATTAAGGTCCTGATGAGGACCTGGAAGTTCAGGAAAACATCAACAAAAATACTACATTAAATTAACTAATATAAATAAAAAAATAAAGAAGATTTAATGCACCTGCCCTCAATAAAATAAATCAAACTTTTTTTTACTAGTAATGAATTAAAAAATCCTGTGAGCCTCAAGTTCTTTGAAATAAAACCCTTCCTAATGACCTTAATATCCCATTTGTTCTTGATCTAATCCCAAGAAAATTTTCCAAATTTCACCAGAACCTCACTCATCCTAATTCTATAGCACAATCTCTATCTAGCTCCAGCCATCCCTACAATCCTCCTCGGAAGTTAAAACGGCAGTGGTCTCGTCACCTTTTGTAAATATGTACACATTACAGTTCTGGCAATGGCCCGATTCTTGATTAAGTCCTCAGCGTCTGTTGCTCTAGTGTCCTTAGTCTCCACTGCTTTCCAATACCAGTGACGCGGCTGGGAGAGAAGCACTGAGATTTTCTGGAGTCCTGCTTTGGCTTCCACGTTTGGAGAACAAAGCTTTATTCAGAGTCCCCTGGGCGAGTGTAAATATAGTACATAGGTGTGAATGTATTTTTTTTTTTTTTTTTTTTTTTTTTTTATTATCATTCAGCTTTAATCTATTACTTTATTTATATCGTATAAATGAATATTAATTCTATTTATCTTATTTACAATAGTTTTTTATTTTAGTTATTTATATATATTTCCCTTTCGCATGTACATATTGTGTGAATGAACATTGCCCAAGTAACAATGCCCTTCAATGTGGTAGATTGTAATAATGCTCAATAAATGCATTAAAAAAAAATATGTATTTATCTAGAGATATGCAAAACAAAAATTAAATAAGTGTATTCTAGTTCCATTAATTTGCATACATGCTTCAAAAGAATAACATAACATTGAACTTAAAATTTGCTTTCAATTAATAAAATATAATCCAATCTAAGATGTTACAATAAAATTTTCATTATAATTGTAAATATTATTTTATTTTTTTTTTTTTATTTCAGACGATGAATATCAAATCACTATTCGGAATTCTGTTGGTATTTTTCAACATTTACATTCAATCGCAATGTTTTGAAGAAAAGATAATGCAGCATAACAGGATAAGCAGAATATTAACATTACGAAGAACTGAGAGGAATCGACAAAACATGGAAAGCAATGGAACTATAATCACTAAACAAAAAGTAAATGCCCGATCAAATCCTAATGGATGGGTAGAAAAAGGGATGCCTTTCAACGTTCTCTATATGAATTCCATCAATAGAAAAAATAAATTTCAAAGTAGTAAGGTAAATCAAAATAAAACAAAGAACGCATTATCATAACAAAGCTATCTAATTTGTAATAATTTTTTTTTTATAATAAAAAAAATAATAACAGTAGAAGAAAATAATATCTTAAAAACAAAAAGAGAAATCTGTTCTGAATAAATTTTTGAGAAATAAATACACACCTTACTCAGATAAGATTTATTTTACTTACCGTTCATTTCTTTAGTCGCCCTGATGAAGTCTTGTGGATCTTTAAAACTAACGAAACCAAAACCTTTAGTTTTATTAGTCCTCTTATCCCGAACCACCCTGGCTTTCAGGAATGAAGGATATTTTGAAAATGCTCTCGTAAGAACTTCATCGGTCACGTCGTTTCCAAGATCCCCGCAAAACAGCCTAAAATCGTCTGAAAATAAAAGATAGCTAAATTAATCTTTAACATTATATATATTTTAAATGATATTAAATTGTTGTTTGTTGAACCAGAAATCAATCAAATTCAATACAGAGCCAGAACCCAGATTGATTTGAAATGTACTTAATGGCAGTGATAAGATGAAAGTAAAAATTCCAACTCTATGGGTAAAAATAGGTTGCAGTAAAAGAATAACTAACCACTGGTGCCTCAATGGCAATAAGAGCAGTAACCATACTTTCATCACACACAAATAAAAATTCTTCATATCAGTGAATTTTAAATTGATTTTGTAGTTCTTTAAGGAAAAACTTAACTACTATGAAACAAAATAAAAGCACTTATGTTGAATACAAACTGAGATTTTTCTTTTTCTCTACCCACATGTATACTAATTGAATCTCGTAATTTTAATGCGTTAAAATAAAAGTGATAATTGATTCGATACAAAAAAAAATCTAGTGCGGTGTGCGCATCACACAATTTTCACTTACCACCCTCTTCTTAGTAGAAGTAAGTATTTTCAGACAAAGAAGAAGTGAAAGTAAAAATTATAAACGCTAAATTGATTTATATTTCATTGTGGGTATTTTTATTTGTTTAAATACCCTTATAGAAACAAATTTTAATATTTATATCACTGTAATCATTACAATTAAATACTAAATAATACCAACGAAAACATTTAGGAAAACCGCATATGTACATGAACATAATATTGTCGGAGTCCGTATTATATTAAGCTCGTGTTAGTATGGAAGCCTGTTCTTATCTTCGGGCGAGCTCGGGTGCGCTCTCATATCAGTTTGGTTCCTTCATTACAACAATTCTCTGTTACGATCTCTTATTTCTCCTTTAGTTAATTTTCAAATTCTTTCATATTTTATATTTAACTATTTTATATATTAGAGATCAATGTGAAATGGTTGTTTCAAATAAAAAAAATTAAAGGTACTTTAAAGAAAGCTAATATTGATAATTAGGCATTTAAGCTCTGTTAGAGAATATCAATGAGAATAAAACCTTCATAATAATAAAACTGCTTAATTTTACACTGATATAAGGAATTTAATCAGCCTTTTTCGAGAAAATAATAAAAATGTGTTTCATCAATGATATAAAGTGCCACTTCCGGTAAGCTGATTTTGACAAAAAAAGTTGCTGTAACATTTCAGGCATATACAAACCTTAAATATGCAATTTCACTTTCATACGACTTTTCATTTTTGAGCTAGACCTGTCACATGCATATAGAAAAACGCGCGCGTACACACACACACACACAGACCTTTTTTGCAGGACTTGGTTATTTGGACTAAGAGACCTCAAAGCATGTATTTCCGTTGAAACCTAAGATTAAAAAATTTTCACGATAGCAATACTGTACCTTACTATATGAAATAAGAATAACTGTATGAAAATATGAAATAAGATCTGGAAAAATCAGGAACTTTGTGTTTAAATAGAAATACAAATTACAGATGTAAATAAATCTGAATAATCATAAAATTTGAAAGAGTAAGATTCTTATTCATCTCTCAATTCATTTACTTTGTAATTTTTGAAGTGAGGAAGGCTGTGCTGTTTCATATTCTAAAGAAAACACAAATAATGTGCCTTATCACCTTATATAAATGCAGAAAAGGAAATATTAACTCCGTTTTTACCTATATGTAAATCTAAAACGTTTTTTCAATAGGTGGTTTTAATCTTTTATTAATAGCATCTGATTCTTTTTGAGTTTCGGATAAAATTTACAAAATTTTTTTGTTTGAAGTTCTTTCATTTAAACAAGATATCTTGTCTCAATTTTCTATGACTTACTAATATAGTCCGTGGTACATACCCTTTTAATCAAATTATTAACGTCCATCTTAAGCTCTGTAAATTGCTTTATATTATCGTAACTTAAAACTGTTTATTTATGAAAATTCTCAGAAATTTTTCAATTTGGAGATTGATAAACTTTGTCTACTTAATGAGGTACCAAAAACACACATCAACATATGTTTGCTTTCCACTTGAACTGTAAATTATTAGACCTGCACCCCCAACATGTCAAAATAATAAGGTAATATAGGCCAAACAATGCAATATTTTTGTAGGCCACCCTTTTACTCAATTTTCTGATAAAATTATGTTACAATTCAAGTGGAAAGAAGCAAATGGGTAATAATGAGTTTTTAGTACCTCATTAAATCAACTAATTTAATGAGAATACGCCACTTCTGACAATTTTAGAGAAAGTTTTAGATGGATGTTAATAATAATTAATAATTTGATAAAAAAATAATTTGTACTGTAGACTACTAGCTGTCCACCATTATTTAGAAGAAACAATATTTTCTTTAGCTTTCAAATTTTGTTTATAGAGATGACTTAATTATATATAATTTTACAATAGTTACAGCCAAATGATTAAATTCATTACAGTTTATAAATAATAGTGAGTAAAAACAATTGGTTTATCATACCAATTTGAAATTTCCCAACTTTTCTTAGTAATCCTGGAATTTCCAGATCTGTTAATAACCCTGTTTATGAATATTAGAGAAAATTTATTAAATTGTAACTGTTTTCTTTTTTTTTAATTTTGTAATCTTGAAGTTAAATGTTGTTTTCTTTAAATTTAATCAAGATTCTTCTTAGAGTAATATTCAAAAAAGGTCAAATAAAAAACAATAATTATTAATAAACATTGGCACAAGTAATACGCAGTATTACTCCTTCCCCTCCCTCTCCACATCTGTCAATCCAAAACCCTTCCTACCTTTTAATCATTTCTTATCCATCCAGTCCTCATAAAATTGTAAATAGTTACTATGGTAAATATGTATATAAATTATTAGATCGTTCTTAATTATTTTTACTTCATGTTTATTTTCAATTTTTTATTATTAACTAATTTAAATTAGAAAGTAACTCATAATTTCTTTTATTTTCACTACTTAATCAAACTATATTCTTGTTTATGAATCTCTGAGGCTCCTTAGCCCACATTTTTGTCTCTCTGTATTATTCTAAAAGAACTCGTCCCAGTATAAATAAAGCATTATTATTATTGACAAAATAAAATTTGAATAATTAAAGATGAAAAAATTATAGATTACTTACCATCCTCCCACTCCCCAAGAGTAGGGTCCTCCCAAGTCTGGCCGCCAGCGGTTCTTATAAGCTTCTTGTTTTTCTTTTTATCTTTTTTAGAAGAACCGCCACCCATATTTGTGACCTGGTTCGATAAACCTTCTTGAGATTTATTAGACTTTTTTACATTTTTTTTCGGATCTTCCATAGGAATTTCCGGTAGAGAAACTTGTGTGTTCTGACTTTCGGCTTGGATAGCAGCAATTTCTAGTTGCGGATTAGCTACATACATCATCGGAGTGGCACTGTAAACAATTCAATTTAATTTATTAAAGTGAAAAAGAAACAATATACTAGACTCAAGAGAAATAAATTATACTAACAAAGAGAGGTTACAATAAGTTGGTCACCAATTTCAATCAATTTTTTTTTTTTTTTTTTTATGATACTACATCAAAACATATATTGGACAATTTCAGAACAAATTTATATTATTTATTTATGCATTTGCTTGTTGGAATAAAACATAAATATGAAAAATTACATTTTTTAAACTGAATGGGCTAAGCTGGACACATTTATCTGGTTCTGTGGGAGTAAAATCTCTGGCAAGTGTCCTTAATTTCTTTGACTGCCAAAATTAACATGTGTGATACTAAAATTGAAATTGAAGAAAAATATTTAAGTTGAGAACTCATGACAACTTTCCTCAATTTCACAAAATTTATTTTGACTGCCTGATGTTTCCCAAAATTCTCGATTGGTAGACTTTAAAATAGGAGGTTTTGCAATTAACAAAATTTCTTAGACGATCTTGGATAATATAGGAAGAAATTTTTGATATTTTTCATAAATAAAAACAATATTCATGTATGTAAAAACAGTATCCACCATACACCATCCTTGTCAATATTTAAAAACCTCTTATTTCAATTCCTCCTTACAATTCAATCAGATGCTGGTTAGCCATTTATTATGTAAAAAAAATTCATTTTCCTCCATGTATCATTCGTATACATACATATTCTTTTTTATGTATTGAAAAGATGTTCAGTCACTTTCACTGAGAACTGTTTTTTGTTAGTTTTTCAATATATAAGATTCTAAGTCTTTGAGATGTATTTAATTGATTACTAAAATTGAATGCACTCCTCTATATATATATATCAATAATAATATATATATACAATCAACAATAATATATATATATCATCTTTTATTTTCTCCGATCAATCTACATCTTAGGATATAGATTATATAAGACTTGTATAATGTTCACAATACTATTCTTGTATTCATTTGAACATATTAAGGTAGAGATGTAAATAATTTATAGTAAATATTTATCTACTCTATGTTTATTATTATTTTTTTCTATACAATGATATGACAACAAAAGTAATTTGTCATTCATTTCAAATTTCATTTAGTATTTCATAGTTTGTTGTTTATAGCAACTATTTTGCAGTATTCTGATCTTATTGCTCATATTCTTTCTTTATGGGTGATAAATATTCAGGACGCAGTCTTTTTTAAATTTTTTTTTATTTTTGCCAACGTTTCAACCCAAATATGTGGGTCATCTTCAGGGCGAGGTTTGACCCACATGTTTGGGTTGAAACGTTGGCAAAAATAAAAAAAAAATTTAAAAAAGACTGCGTCCTGAATATTTATCACCCATGATATGTAGAACAGTCGACTAACTTCCTTCAAGAATTCTTTCTTTAATATACCTGTATAGCATATCTTTAATATATGTAAATACTTCTCTTATTATTATATTGTAGTTATTTTTGTATTTTAATATGCATTTTGGCCAGATGCAATGTTAATTTTTATGATCAATATTGTTATTCTTAAGGGACTTTGTCCCAGAATAAAGTTGATTCTTCTATTCTATATTCTTAGTAAGACCAACTATAACTACTATTGAAGACTCTTTTGCACCAAACAAATAGGTCATGAGCATGTACAATAATGGATCAGTATAAGTTCAGTGATAGCTGCATCTTATTGCTTAAGTATTAAACTGGAGGGATGTTTTCCAGTGGGACAAGCTAATAACTTATTAAGTTAATTGACACCTTAATGGTTTTGATAAAGAACGAAGCTTCAGCAATTGTGTTTGTTAAATAAACTATCTTGATAATATTATATTTTATATACAAATAAACATGTTTCGATGATGTCACTTACAATATGTGGAATGCATTAGGGAAAAAGATACCTATCTAATGTGAGAGTTCTCACGTGGGTATACTAGTATTAATAAATTAAAATTACCTTAAAACAGTTTGGACAGGTTGCTGGGGTTTATTTTCTTGTGAAGTGGGAGGGGCGAATCTTGGTGGATTCAAGTGAGGTGGAAACGCTGCGCCGTTGAAGGAAGGAGGCATCATCGGTGGTCCTAGACCTCCTGGACCTGGTCCCATCGGAGGCACAGGAGGAGGTGGTGCCATCGCTTGAGTCATCGGTCCCGGACCTAAATGTCCTGGACCCATCGGTCCAGGTCCCATTGGTCCAGGTGGTCCCATATGAGGAGGACCCATTGGTCCCATCATACCGAAGCCTGGGGGAGGTGGCAAAGGACCTGAAACAGGGTGAAAACGTTAGTAAATATAACAAGATGGTTAGATCGTGTTTCATATAGAAAATATTATGCAGAATACTAAAATCTAAAGTCATCAATACTGTAAAAATTTAACTTGATACAATAGCAAAATGATGGATAGGTTTAGAATGATATAGGAGAAAAACATTTTTGATTTGTTTCGAAAAAGTTAATATTTTCTAAAAGTACTTAAATGGTATCTGCTCTTAACATATTCACCTACCAGGTGTGTAAATATGAAATTAGAATTTTCATAAAGTAGATACATGTTTATTGCGTATACATGATAAAAAATCTGGTATGGTGCGCGCATCACACAACTTTCACTTACCACCTTTTGCTAAGCAGAAATAAGTATTTTAAGACAAAGGGGAGTGAAAGTAAAAGTTATAGAAGTTAAGAAACATTATTTAAAACAATTAATTACCATATGTTTTTCATAGTCTTCTAATGTATATTTTATATTTTATTTAGTCACACAAGTCATTCCCTTTTCCGTCAGTATATTTCAATTATTTATTTGATTATAATAAATTAAGTGTCATGAAATATTTTTAGTACAACAAGAGTGCTACTGATAAAGAAAACAGCTATATTTATTCATATTTTATTGTGGGTATACAACTAAATATTAAATAATACCAACAATAGCAATTATGAAAACTGCATATGTATATGTACATATTGCCGGAGTCCGTATTATATTAAGCTCATATTAGTATGGAAGCCTATTCTAATCTTCGGGTGCACTCTCATATCAGTTTGGTTCCTTCATTACAACTATTCTCTGTTACCATCTCTTATTTCTCCTTTAGTTAATTATCAAATTCTTTCATATTTTATATTTAACTATTTTTTTATATATATAAAATATTAAAGGTACTTTAAAGGAAGACATTTTGAAAAAATCGGAATTTAAGCCCTGTCAACTTGCATTGATAAGGATAAAATCTACCTTAAATTAAAAACCACTTAATAATACACTGACCTAGTGAGTTTAATCAAAATCGTTAAGAGCAGTTTTTGAGAAAATCGTAAAAATGTGTTAAATCGATTATATAAATTGCCACCTCAGGTCAGCCGATTTTTACGAAAAAGTTACTGTAACATTCCAGGTATATAAAAATCTTAACATGCAATTTCACTTTCGTACCACTTTTCGTTATTGAGCTAGACTGTTCACATACACACGCTAATATTTTCCAATTGTTTCCTTCACTGAATTTCCTGTGTATGATGGTGCATTATCATGCAGCAAAATAACTTTGTATTGTCTTTTTTTTTTTCAAGCAATACTCAATCATTTTTTGTTGATAGTGTACAGTATTAACATTTTTGACAAGTTTTAGCATATAATAATAGATCACAGCTTTTTTTCAGTGGTCTTCCACTTTCTTCATTCTTCATTTCAAAATAACCACTTTTGAATTTTTTAAACCACTTGAAGCATTGTAATTTACCAAGAGTATTCTCACCATAAGTGAGATTGATTCGGAAAGCATTCAATATGATTCTGCAAATCACAAACCGTAGGCACAAAACTAGACATGTTATCATATGAAACTTATCTGACTGTTGCGAGTTGAAAATCTTTGTCAGGTGTTGAAAAACAAAACAGCAACAATAATGCAATTTAAAACTAACTGCATTAATAATCAGTCATCCATGGATGAATTCCGGTTTCATATTTACATACCTGATGCAGAAATGAAACATTTTATGTTAAAATCCATGTTAATAAGAACAATCTATAAATAAGAACTTTAAAAATCAAACCAATTAATTTGGAATAAACAACTATAAATATCTTAGAGATGGGCAAGTATTCGACTGTTGAAATTATAAAAATGAAACAAAATTGTAGTGAATTTCAGTCAAAAATTTTTTTGATGACTAATAGTAATAGGAATAAATAAATAAGATGATAGTAAAAAGAGTAAAGAATATTTAATAAGAATATCTTATTAATATTTAAAAGAATATTTTATTTATTTATTCTTGTTAATATTGTCTTGTTGCTGTTATTCTTCATTATTATTACTTTTATGCTATTATATTTATCATTTTTCTGTTATTATAAAAAATTCTTATTTTTTTAATTTTTAGCCCTGATGACACACATGTTTGGGTCGAAACATTTGTAAACCTAATAAAAATATCTTGACTAAAAATTCCTGACAATTTTGTTTCCTCTTTATAATTGATCAGTCGATTACTTACAGGCTACATTATTTATTATAATTACCAATATCATCTAAAAATTACCGATTTAAAAAAAAAATGTTATTAATTTATAATTATACTAATCGATAAAGACTAACACAAGAAAGTAAACAAAAGTAATAAAAACGAAACAAATTCAAGTTCAATAACTATATATATATATATATATATATATATATATATTCTCTCATTTTCTTTTTATCAGAATATATAGTTTTCTTTTTTAAGTTATTTATTATAATGAAGAGAAGAATAGTTGGGATGATCAGTCAAATAAGAAGATTCTTATTTGACTGATCACCCCAACTATTCTTCTCTTCATTATTCACGATAGTCAACTATTTAACCACTGTTATTTATCATAATTAAAAATTATAAATACTTACCAGAGGGCATTGGACCTGGAGGCATTGGTGGAACTGGTGGCATTGGTCCTCTCCAATCCATTGGAGGCCTTGAACCGTCCACTAAAAAAAATAATAATAAAATAAACAAGTAGAAAAGAAGTAATATAAACATTTAATATCATTACAGAAAATCAATCAACATAAAACTTGTTAAGAAGGAGTAATATGAATCATTTCATACATGTTACTATAACAATTGAATATATTTGAAACTGTTTAATTCGTCATGCTTAGAGGAAGAACATATCGCTAACAAACACAACTTGCTACATATTTTGCTCGATAAAGGTAAGATAATATTAAAAGCAATATGTTTTTAATATCATTAAAGAATAGTTGTGGTATTACTTTAAAAACAGTGTGGAAAAAACAAAATGGTTAAATCAGTTCATTTCAAACAATGTATAAAATAGTATGGTAATAAATATAAATATAGAATAGTTTAGCTTTCACTTTTCACTAGTGTAATGAAAATGAAATTCTATTGCTAAATTTATAAATAATAATTTCCAATTACAGCTATGAGAAATCTGTTTATATTATTTCTCAAAGGTGTTTTTTTTTTTTTTGTCGGTTCACCGTATCTTCATCAAATCCGATGATTGAGCCCTCAATTTGAAGATCTTCAGATGGGAAAAATAGTCACAAACCCCCGAAATTTCAAGAAAAAATGTTTTGAAGGATAAGAAACTTGATTGGCAAATAACTGAAAAAGCATACATTTTTTTGTTTATTGTACCCATGATTAATTGAAAGATTACTAAATTCCATAAAAAAAAAAAAAAAAAAAATCATCAAAATCAGACAATTTTTAGCAAAGATAGAATTTACACTAATGTACACTTTTTTGTTTATTACCATGAATGCAATAATATGATTCCACCGAGAAAAAGAAAATGATTTCGTCGATCTCATAATTTATAGCACTTACTTATCTATATTATATTGTTCTTTGTTCACTGACCAATAGACTATGTAAATTATTTGCAGACCAACTAGTTAATTATCTGTTCAATAAAGCTTGAAAATTTACATAATCTAATTATATAATACAAAAATATCAGATAAAGCTACTTTTATGATTTCTGCTTCATTAGGATCTTTTCTATGGTAACACTAGTTTTACGTCTCGTGGCTTTTGACCAGCACATATTACATATTTGTATGACAATTATAAGTCATGTACATTGTATTTAATGAGAGGACAAGTAAAGCACTATAAAAACATAACACTTACATGGCCTTGGTGGTAGACCCCTAACTTGATGAGGTATAAATGGAAGAGGAGGAATCGGTGGAGGAGGTGGTGGAACGACACCCAGAGCGGGCATTCCCATCGCTGCTTCAACAGATGACGGGAGGCCTGCAAGTTGTTTTTGAGCTTCATTGTACGTATTGGTACTTATAACTTTTGGTCCAGGTATAGCAATAGACGGAATGGGTGGAGGTGGAGGAGGAGGTGCTGTTTCAGGAAGTGGAAGCCCAATTTCTTCCTCAAATCTGAAAAGAAGAAAAATCAAATTATATAAAAGTATACAATATTGAATATTTTACAAATAGTATATTATAAACAATTAAATGCTTAATTTGTGATTGAAATAGTTGTAATAAAAAACTATTGATCTTTATAAATAATCGTTTTATACAATTGGTAAAGTAAAAATTTTCAAGATAATTATGTTTATACGACAACTAATAAAAATTAAATTGCTCCTAGTTGACATATTATTAAAAACCTCAAAGGAGCTCTTTGATACTAAAAGTTCTGTAAAAATATTATCTACATTACATACTTTTAAACTAAGTATGTAATTATTATTTATAATTCAATCAAATTAAATAAAATTAATTTTTTCGTGAAAAACTGATGAACCAGTAATATAATTTAAACATTACAATTAAATCTAATTTGATTGGGTGAATGAAAACGATTTAATCCAATCAGTATGCACAAATTACATGTAACCCATTTAATAAAATCTTTATACTTTAACTGTATCTTTACTTCACATAAATTTGATACATTTGACTTATATATATTATTGTTTACAAATCAGTATAATATATTTTATGAACCTACAATATTTTATATGGATGAGTAATTTTTTCTATATATATCATCCTAAATTAGAATAATAAGGACTAAACTGAGATAAAATACATCATGATTATAAAAACACTATAAAGTTACCTAAAATACAGTTGATTTGTTTCCTGAAGATGAAGTGTGAGATTTAATAGTGTTCATCTAGCTTTAATGCCTAATTTAAACGATTTATTAATTTAATCAAATATAATTTTCAACCAATATATTATGCTTTTAAAACAATAATTCCAATAAATTGTTTACCATTTTAATAAAATTTAATCAGAACAAATAAAATCAGTTACTTTAAAAGTATCACATCTGGATGACAATTTTGCCAAGATCACATAGATGACACTGTAGATAAAATGATGATAGTAACCTAGTGTGGTTTATACTGATTTCCTGAATGTAACTATGCTTCTAGCTTCAGGAGACCTTATACGTAGCTGGTGCCAGGAAAACTTTATATCAGGAGAAAAATTTTGAAACCTCATCCTAATTATTTCTATGAATGATAATGTTTCAATTAAGATACCAGAATTTTACATTACTTTTAAATAACCCAAGTTATGAACATCAGTTATAAAACAATTTTCCAGAAATTTTTTTTAAAAAATAACAGTTAATTGATCACTACTTTATACTTACTGTGGATAAATAGAATAAGTATACAGATAAGCAAATTTAAAAAAACTAAGTCTAAAGTATTTCCTTGCTACACAAGTACATAATCCTATCAATAGTCTCTGATATATATTTTTAGAAAGACACTAAAATGATACCTGCTCATCTCATCTTGCATTTGCTTGATTTTATCTTCATTTAAAGATGCCATTTTTAAAAATTAAATTTAAATACTTTCACAATAACACCGACTAACCGTGGTTGATGATCTTTGGAGCCACAAATGACAACAAGAAGGTTATTGGCGGTAGGTAGGTTTCAATATGAGGGCATTTTTAAACTGTTAGCTAATTTTCTTTTTAGAGAATATTGTCGCTTGTTAAAATAAAAGTCAATGAGTAGGTTTCGAAGTGAATTGAAATAGTTTTTTATGTTATTTTTGAATTAATTGTACTATCAACAATACTCAAAAGTGGCTTATTCAGCAAGCAGTGGATAGCCTGAAGTACAATAAACTGTTTGAGACGGAAACATTGTAGAAACTCGTAGATATGTCTTTTTATTGCAGAATTAGATTTATGTTGTACCTTCCAGATGTATGATGGAATGCTATTAGCAATTCTGAAGAATTGCTAAATCAATCTGGGAGAGTTTGGAGGGCAGTATTTGTTTCAGTTTTTAAATAAATCTTCGCCTTTGTCATGGATATGACTAGCACAGAAGGTAAGCTACCTAATTTAATTGCTGTATTGAACTGTACGTTTTATTTTAATTTCTATCATGATACTTCTCATAATGTTTGATGTAAGCTTATGTTTTTTCTATTTTTTAATTAAACTGCATGATATGTTAGAAGTAGTTTCATTTCTTTTGAATGATGCTTAGAAGTTGTTATGAAAACCTCCCTGCAAAAGCTATCATTTATTTATTCTGGTTTAAGGATTTATGACTTATTAATGTGTATTGGTTTTAGTTCTTTTTCCAAGCCTGTTGTAGCTTGCAATATTACATGGTCCTATATTTGAAGTTATAAATGCAGTATTGTTAATTAGTATCTAGTCATAATATTTTCTTCCAATTCAAGACTATTGTTTTAATAATTGTGTTATTTTTGTTTTTAGTAAGTTTTTTTATTTATTTTTAAGTTTATTATTTAAATTTTTAATTAATGTTTTATTGCTAACTGTTAATTGATACAGGAGCAGTAGATACACTTTTTTAAAAAAGTGATCCCTGTAAATTAAATAAGGCACATAGTTTAGTAATTTTTGTTTTATAATGAAAATGTTTTTAATATCTTTTCTTTGTTTTAATTTCAGAGTATTGTTATATCTTTCTTTATTTATCGTGCCCTTTTATTTTTCTAATTCTAATTATTCCTCATTATCTCAATACCTTTTGCTTTTCAAAGTTTTAATAATTCTAGTTCCTTAAAATTTATTATATGTTATGTTTTGAGGAATGTTCAGTTTTTATAGAAACATTTTGTTTCTTTCTCTTGGTTTTATTTGTTTTTTTCTTGTTTGTCTCTTTTATACATCAGGGAGGGAATTTTTTTATTATTAAATCCAAGTGGTCCATGCCTTCTGAAAATCTTTGCTCAAGTACTCTTTTCAGTTTATTAAGTATTTTAAATATATATATTTTAATTATTTGACAAAATTTCAATTACATTTATCTTAAAAAATATAATTTCTGGTTTCAGGGTGTTTTTGCTTTGATATTATCTTTTGAATATTTTATTTTATAGTTTTATTAGCATCACTTAGCAATTATGCTATTATTTACTAACAGAAATTAATCAAATTCTGCAGAAATAATGAACTCTTAAATTTTTCAAGAAATTTAAGATGAATAATAATGGAAACTAAATATTTTTTATTTTACTGACTTTTGTTTTTCATTTACTTAACTATGGTTATTAGTCACCCACAAATCTATTTAAATGTTTTATAAACATATCATTGTATCTTTACAATTATTTTTCCCCTTTCTCAGTTAGTATATGATTAAGAAGATTGGTTACTTTTGTATCATGTGTGCAAGGGATTGAGACTTACAACAGTCCTAAAAGACAGATTACTTATGTTAAGAGAAACTATTTTCTCAACTCCTTTATATATTTCTCTGGATCATCTATCTCCATTGAAGCTCAACATTGTTAATTGTGGTGAATTATCATCATTTACCAATGAAGATTCTGCCGTATGTTTTTTATTTTGTTCATCAAAATTATTCGTAACCTCACGCTATATAAGCAATAAAGAGAAACTTTATTATGATGATGAGAAGTATTCAAACATATTTTCATACATCACAATAATATGCCAATATTACCTACAACTTTAAGAGAAAAAAAAAAAACCTAGTTCTATTAGCCACCAGCTCAAGATTTGTAAATTTTCTGTGGAGATGGGATTTATTGGTATGGCAACTTAAATATTTATATAACAGTAGGTAAATGGATTAATTGGTTATGAAATTAGATTATTTATGCTGTACATCGTGTAATCAAGAGTATTGAAGAGAAGTTGGTTGGGGTGTTCAGCCAAACTAAGAACAAAGTAAAAATAAATATTATATTTATTTTTGCCGATGTTATGGCCTAAGTTTCAGGGCTTAAAAAAGACAAGATAACATAAATATGAGAAACTAGTAGATGGTAAAACTAATAATATGTAGGTAAAAGATTTAGTCTGATAACATATAAGTAGAGTAAACTTAATATTAATATATATTTGGAATGGTAAATATATGATGTATAAATAAAGGAAGTATAAAATAACGGTAACTAAGTTAGAGACTTAAAAAAATAATGGAACAAACTATAAGAAGATAGTAATAAAATGATGAAGTAAACAATAGTAAAATAGCAATAACATAATGAAGTAAACAAAAATTTAACTTAATTAAAATGGACTTAAAGCTTATTAAACGAGGAAGTTTTTCTAAAAGTGGGGTAAATGTACAGTTAAAGGGTGTTAAAAATAATTACAATTTATGACTTCTTTTTTTTTAACGGAACTTAGCTGTGTTTGTCCTCCCATTTAACAACAACAAAGTCTACTTTTGTTTAAATTAAATTTCATCTAGTTTACTACGGAGCAATGTTGAGTTACGTAAATCGAATATTTAAATGTGTATAAGACGATGTGTAGATGGTCTATTAATTATTTTATTTAGCAATGAGTACGATATGCCATGTGAAACGGTATAAATAAGGCCGATATATCGGTTTTTTTAATATAGGCATCGGCCAAAAATTCAATATCGGTCGATTTCTAGTTTATGTATTGGATGATAATAGTTTCTTATATTTATATGTATGTTGAAACTAAAACCGGCTTTGCCAGTTGAAATAGCTCCAGCCTGAGAGAGTTAACGTGATTACTGGCAAATTATGATTTAATGTTAATGTTCAAAAGATTGTTTTGTTATTTTTATTATAGTAATAAACTCAAAAGTGCAGTTTAGCATAAAGGAAAGAGTGATGTAGGAATTTTAATTGAAATATTTTATAGGTCATGCACACTGCAACACAACTTTTTGTGTAAGCCTTATAATTTTGTCATTATTATACTTCTGTGATCTTAAAAATTACAAATGTCCTATTTTTACTTTCACTTACCTATAATTGTAATATGTAGTAAGGGAAAGTATTGCATTTTAAAAATTTTGGAATTTATGTTTTCTACGGAAATACATGTTTAGAAGTCCTCTGTGTCCAAATAACTAAGTCCCACAAAATGGCCTGTAGAATTTTCTCGAAAAATGCTTTAGTAATTTTCGTTAAATTCATTATACTAATGTAAAATTAAGCAGTTTTTATATACAATGTAATTCTGATTCTTATTGATATTCTCTAACAGGATTTAAGTGCCTAATTTTTAAAATTTCTTTCTCTAAGTACCTTTAATTTTTTTTGTCTGAAATAATTAACCATTTCACATTACCAACTGATATAAAAAATGGCTTAACTATAATGTATGAAGAAAATTTATTAGAAACTAAAGGAGAATTAAGGGTTGGAAGGTAGACAGAAACAGCTGAGAGTGCTCGACCTTTGCCGCTCCTCTCCGTTAACAGATACCCAATACCCCTCTTTGCTACTAATATAAACCTAATAATATACAATATTTACAAACATTAAGTTATTTTTTCAATGAGTTACGTGATATATGTTTATAATAGAGCTCAGAATTTTTCCAAAAATTCATTTTTCTCCACAATCTTCATTATTGTTTGATACTTTACACATTATTATAAGGAAATGGAAATTTATGCGAACTTATAAATTTAACAGATCTGATGAGCAGAAAAAACATGGTAATCAATTGTTTTAAATAATGTTATACCGTTGTTTTCACTTTGACTTTGTTGGTATAGTTATGTGATGCGCGCACAGTACCAGTTTTTTATCATTTAGAAAGAAAAGGTTGTTTCTACTTTGAAATCGAGAAATTTAAGTTAGAAAAAAAAATCTAATAAAATAATTTGTTTTACAAGTTTCTAAAAACGTTAAAAATAACAGTTGGTTTGTATGTGGCTATGTAAGATTGAAAGCAGAGTACTCTTAGTACCGAGTACCAGATATTTTACTCGAATATTAACCTTTTTTGACTACCAAAAAATTTAATAACTACTTCAGTCGATGTCAAACGACTACTGAAGTAGTGATTCAATTTGAGTAAAATACATGGTACTCTGTACTCAAAGTAGTGCTTGGTATAAGTTTGTTCTTAATCCATTTTAAAAGTAATTAGAACCAATAAATAATGAAAATTTATTTTTGCTTTTAAGGTGTCATTTTATAACTGAGATATTTATTTGTCCATCCATGTTGTCAGTATATTTAATGAGTTACTAATTAGAAGTATACATTTTTATTTTATTTGCAAAGTGTTTTTTATTTTTATTTGCAAAAAAAAAATATTTTTTCACCATTTATAGATGTTTTATTTGTTTATGAAGGCAATTCTTTTGTTCACTATTCTACTGAGAAAAAAAAAATTGTTAAAGAAGTGAGAATGTGAGGATAGCTCTCGGTACAGCTTTTGAACAACTACAACCATAATTTAAGGATAATATTTTGATATAATGATTATGAAATATCATCAGTTTCCTAAGTAAATGTATAAGAGATTTTATGAGAATTTTTTGTCTAATGTGCATTGTAAAATGTATTGTCAAGTTTATGGAATAATGATATGTGACTTTAAATTGTTACTGCTGGTCCTTAAAGTAATTGTAATTCTAATTTAAATTATCATTGTATTTTATTATGATCACTACTTTTATTATATTGTTAATTTTTTTTTTTTTTCTTTTTTATGTTAAAGAACTGGGATTGGTATGGATGGGTGATATGCTCCTCCATAGTGATCCTGGGGGCCTTATGATCAACTCTAGCATGGATCCTCATCGCAATACATTTTTTACAGAAGCCCAACAGACTATCGAGGAAATGCGGCAAACAACACCTATGGTAATATTATTAATTCAGTTACTATTAGATAATTTTAGTAATGAGATTTTTTTTATATCATTATTACAGCTTTAGAGGTTTAACTAAATTTTGTTATTGTTTCAAAAATTTAAAACTAAAGAAAAAACAAGGAAATACATTTGTAAGTTTCTATTATCTTGAGTCTGATGTAACTGATACTTTTAAATTATGTACAGTAATCTGGAGATATTGTTAACAATAAATGCTATCAATTAATAATAAAGTTGTTTGATCAAGAAAGAAATAAACCTTGAAGCAGAGATGGGCACATGCTACTTTGAGTACCGAGTACCTAGTATTTTACTCTAATTGAATCACTATTGAGAATTCAATCACTACTTCAGTTAATCCTTTGATATCAACTGAAGAAGTAATTATATTCTTTAGTATACAAAAAAGGTCAGTAAAATACTTAGTACTCAGTACTCAGAGTAGCATTTACCCATCTCTACCGTGAAGTAATTTAAAGCGTTTAGATTTGTGCCAATGTTTTGCCCTAAGTTTTAGACTTTCATTATGGTAAAGCAAAACAAGATAATGAATCGCAGAAGAAAAAAAATGTATTTAGTATGATATTATGGAGAAATATAAAACAATAAAATAGTACTTGAGAAATTATATAAAATAGTTTATGGTATTAAAACCTGATGATTTGAAAGTATATTTCATCTGAAATGGAAACGAAGATATAATCTCTGGAATCATTTAGAACAAAGGTTATAATGAAACCACAGTAATAATAAGTGATATAACACATATTTTTTAAAATATCTAGAAAGTTTCAAGTTAAACAATGTACGAGAATAATTACTGTTTAAAAGAATTACATTGAAAAAATCTGTTGGTTTATTTTACTAAATAAAAAATATCTCAAATCTAAATTAAATTATTCTAGCGCCTCAAAAAAATGGTGTCCCTTTGAATTGTTGTCTTTTGTAGCATAGAGCTACATCAAATAGTACAGTCTACCACTCAGGTTTTATAATTAATAAAATATCTGATATTAATTCACAAATATCATATTTGGATGACGTGTGGGCCCAAGATCATTTCGATCACACATTACACATAGAATACTTGAAATAGCTAAAATTATCCGATAATACCACATTGTGATAACACCAATGATTACTCTTTGTTTTTGACAATTATGGATTACATTTGGTCAGATTATATTTCGCTGTTTAATTTTTAAAAATAATCAAAGATAAAATCTAAACAGGCTCACATATTAGTTTGTTATTGTAACATTTATTCACTGTTAATAAGACACTATAAAAAAAAATATATTCAAAAATTTGTTCATTAATATTGAAGCACAGTGTGCTCAAACAATGTGCATTGTCAAACTTAAGCAAAAAAACAAAACAAAAACAGCTATTCATAAAGAGTTAAATCATTGTATAGTTGTAGCGTATGCAAATAATAACTTATAAAGTATAACTGATATAGATTAGATTTTTAAAATAAGAGAGTAGTGTTGCATACAATATCAAAACAACCACACAAGAGGAGAATAGTGTTTTAATTACAGGAGTTACGTTGAACATGCCTATGGACTTTTTGTACTTTGAAATGTGAAATGAAGGGAGAATTTAACACATTTGTAGACTACCTGTCCAGCATTAAGAGAGTTTAGGGTAAGATGGCTTGCCAAAAGTAGATTATTATATACAATTTTTTAGGCTTAAATTATTTATATAAAATGTTTGATTATTATATTTACACATAGTTTATTAAAGGATAGGTTTTTGAAAATAAAGTATTGCGTAGAATATTCGGACCGAAGAAGGATGAGTTAACCGGAGAGTTCAGACAATGCCGAATTGTGTGAGCTGTATCCGGTTAATATAATTGAGGTAATTTCATCGCGGCGAATCAAATGGGCTTGTAAAGTTGTTGGGCTTACTAACGAGAGAATTCCTAAAAGGTTAATATTTGCTGTGCCGAATGGTAAGCGTCCGAGGGGTAGACCTAAGCGAAGGTGGGAAGATTGCATTAAAGCCGATCTGAAGGGACTGGGTTTGGACGGCGAACGGTGGAGGGAGGTGTGTAACAACCGATTGGTGGTGTCGGCAACGAACCTTCGGGTTCGCTAAGCCTTATTATTTTATTTTTATTAAAGGATAGAATTTCTGTTGATTTTGCAATATTCAGCATTGCTTGTTATTATATACCTACTGTTAGATATCCGAGCATATTTTTATTTTTTGTGACTATAAAAATAATACATATTTCTAATCAATGGTTACCTAAAAAGTTGTCAGATATGTTAATATATTTGTGTTTCGGGTGAATATCTTTATAAATTAATATGTATCTATATATTAAGACAAATATTATTATTGAAACTGATTTTTTAAATATGACTTACTACAGTAAAGTTTGGCCATTCCTAATTCCTAGAGCTCCTACATAAACAGTATGAACTAGATGAACTCATCTGTTGTATGGGCTTGAAACAGTTGTCCTCGACATTAATCAAGGCGATTCACATATTCTGTCATAATGGCCCTTGTTCCTCATAGCTCATTGATAGAAGAACAATTCGCACGAACAATTTAAAGTTTATTTACATTAATATTTAATTTCATTTTTTTAATATGTTTATTAGTTTATTAATTTTGTTGAATAATATATTCTTTTATTTATAAAAAAAATATATACAGTTCACTTAAATCATTATATCAGGGGAGTTTGAAATCTCTAACCAGGTGTAAGTTAAGTGTAAAAATAATATAATATATATATTCAATTTTTAGTACATTGAATAATCCATAGGATGTTTGCTATTGGGCTTATACTCTTTGGTATAAATCAGACCTAAATGTATGTATGTATTTTTTTCCCAATATACTATTATTTATTATTACTATTAAAGAATAACTTTTTTTCTTAGCCTCATTCTTTGGATATAGAAATTTCCTCTTTTCCAAAATCAATAACAAATAAAATTATTATTATTTATTGATTATTCTATCAAAATACAACAAATTTGTGGATTTGTTTTTTGATCATTTCTTAAGTAATAAAATTATGTTTATTTCGATATTCGATTATTGGCATGCTATATAATATTGTGATATAGTTATTTCATGATTTTATCTATATTTATTAATATGAAGAATTGAAGCTGTCGAGTGAAAATTATGCCTCCTTGAATTGCAGGCAATAAAGAGTATGGATCATAGTTATCGCCGAGCTATTTTTGGCATTCCATGCACAGTGCGATCATATACTTTTAGCCTAAACAGCATCTGGGCATGACATTCGTATACTTGTATACTAAGTTTCTGTTTTATTCACTTCTACTCATGATATAATTTACTTTCTCTATTATTATTTTTGGCTTTTATTCAATTTCATCGCAATCTTATTAATTTTGTTGATAGTATGTCCAAGACATGAATGGTTACATGATGTTGGATGAATTGGAAGATCCGTATTTCGAAGATGAGGATAGAGACAGTAAACTGGACGAGGGTCAGCCAGGTTACATACCTGGTCTCACAGGACAGATTACTCCAACGGAAGTTCCTCAGTCTAATAAAAAGATTAAACCCATCAAGAGGCCTGGGCTGAAGCTTCAGACCCCGATCGCATACCAGAGAGATACTGATCCCAACGTTATTCCCATCATGAAAGATGGAATGGGTAAACTTATTAATTTTTTTTTTTTAGTTTGCATACTTTATTTGTTGTTGTTTTTTTAAATTTAAATGCTAAGATAGTTATTTATTTTTAAGCGATTTGTGAAAAGTGTGGTGCGATTGGTGTGAAACATGCATTTTATACCAAAGAGAGGAGGTTTTGCAGCTTAGCTTGTTCACGTGGCTATTCCGAGGGACCGCCACCGCCAAGTGATAGTGATGATGAGGGAAAACCACCTTTAAATCCAGTTGTAAGTCAGCTTTTTAATTGACCATATTTAAAAATACTAACTATTTAAAGATAGTAATAATAATAATTTTATTGCTCAAAAGTACAAAACTTTATAGCAAGGAGTTGACTAAATTAACAATTTAAACTTCTCTTGAAGATACATCCTTATTGATAAAATATAGAGAATATACATATGTGTGCACAATTACATTTTCAGCCCTAATACAGTACAATAAAACATAATAATACAATGGAACAGAATTTTTCTGTTTTGAAACTTCCTTAGGGTTCTTCTTCAGCCCTTCCTTCTCAGTCTAATAATAAGTTTCTTAATTTAAGACCACAGGAATAATTATACGGTTTATTGAAATTTATTCTGTTTCCTACTCTTAAGGTGTCATCCACACAATTTATAGATAGCTCTGTGGTACCTATAATCTTCCTTCTAATGAAGATAAGACAATTGCTAAGGAGATGGAAAAGTGTGTCTTTACTTTTTTGCACAATGGACAGTTCTCTTCTGGCTGGAAGTCGAAGACTTATTTATCAAAATAGATTCTCGATGCATGCTTTTCTCCCATTAGAATTATCTTAGCTACCAATCTGATTTTAGCTATTGGCATCTTGTTTAAATAAGGTTCAATACCATCTAAAGGGCTTATATGTGGGATGAATGAGTTGTTCAGGACGAACTCTCAATCATTACTTAATCATTAGTTCCGTGCTTTTTCAATAATTTCACACAACTCTTCATTTGATAGGATGTGTTGGTTTTCCACACCCTAATATGCCTAGAATGTTATTTAAATATATTAAATTTGTTTTGTTTATTTTTTGTCAAATAGCAGTGAAAATGTAATTTAATTTCTATTGTTGATAAATTGTTTTATTTTTCAATAATCAAAATTTATCGTTCTAACGATATGTTAAATTTAAATATTATTTTTTATTACTAATAATACTTCGTAGAATATACAATAAGAAATTTTAACTATGAGAAATACAAAACATTTTATGGATTGGAAATTTGTCTGCCGGGAAAATAATACTTTTAAATAATTCTTTAATTTGTAATTAACCTTTGATGTTTTTTGTTTTGTTTTTTTATTAATGTTAACTGGTTGACGTTTCGAATGACTTGTTCATCTTCATGACCACCTATTATATGATGAACAGAGAGCATCATATAATCAATCCCGAGTTGGTTTATTGTATAAAATCACTAAATCAGTACATTTTCGATGAGGCTGAACTTTTAAGTATGTTTTTATTTATTTCAACCTTATTTTTAGTTATAAAAACGCAGTAAGTGCACTAAAATGACATCATTTTTTATATATCAAATATAGTTACAACAAACGCACAACCTTCAGAATTTATAAAGATAAAATTCATTAAAGCTCTAAGTGACTTTATGTTATGATATGGCACTTAGTGGACTTTTTGCAATAAACAGGCTATATTTTCTATTTCAAAATAACACTAAAATGATTTATTTCTTTATTCTTTTTTTCTACTTTGTTTTCTATGTACGATTATAGCATATGAATGTAATTATTACAAATGTTGGTATTACAATAATTTTAATTTTAATATCTTCTGCTTACATAGCCCTGAACTTTCGTAATACATTGTTCATTTGCTGCTTGGCACAATTCTACTTATTCTCTTGTAATTCATATGAACGAAATGAATATTTTGGTATATATTCTTTGACAAAATGTCAAAAATTAATTATAAATTTATTTCCTAATAATGTAATTTAAAATAACAAATAGTGATTTCTTTCCATTCTTTAGCAGATGGAAGTTGATTCTGCCGTGAAGGTAAAGATCCATGCTACATTACCACCTCTTCCTGCTCCGATATCGCTTCATGAAGAAGAAACGCCATTCCCGCCAGATAAGAAGACCCTGCCTCATCTGGCTGGAACGTACGATTGGACGGAAATGCTTAATGATCCTACCTTCGCTGCTGCTTCAGTTTCTTCATTCAGTCACGTAAGTTTATTGTATGATTTAATGTTAAGGTAATTTTATATGATGAAGTTTCGTGAATAAAGAAATCAATTCAATTTTTACTTTCACTTACGTATATATGAAATATATAGTAAGTGGAAGTATTGCGATCGTGAAAATTTTCGAATCTCAGTTTTCAATGGAAATACGTGTTTTGAGGTCCCCTGAGTCCAAATAACCAAGTGTCGCAAAATGGTCTGTGTGTGTGTGTGTGTGTATGTTAACAGTCTAACTCATAAACGAAAAGTAGTACGAAACTGATATTACGTATTTAAGGTTTGTATGTGGGCTGGATGTGACAGCAACTTTTTCGTTAAAATCGGCTAACCGGAAGTGCCACTTTATATGAACGCTGAAACACATTTTTACAATTTTCTCAAAAACAGCTCTAACGATTTTGATTAAACTCAGTGTATCATTGTATAATTAAATGGTCTTTAATATCATTTAGGCCTTATCCCCGTTAATGTCACTTTGCATGGCTTAAATGCCCAATGTCCATATGCCTCTTCCTCTAAAGTACCTTTAATATGGTTTATTTTAAATAACTAGTAGGCCCGTGCGAAAAATTCACACAGCATATTGTTATCAAATGCCAAATTAATAAGAAAATGCAACTTATCAAAAGATTAAGACATCAAATGTTACTTTATCAATAAACATAATCCATAAAGCAAACAAAAATTAATTAAAATCTTCATTTTTGTTTGGAACCAACATGTATACAAATTTCAGTAAGCTGTATATTTGCTAAAAATTGTCCGATTGCGATGATTTTTTTTTCCTTTTGTAGGGAATTTAGTAATGTTTTATATAATTATGGGCATAACCAAGGAAAAAGTGTTTAATTTTTGCAGTTATTCGCAAATAAAGTGTATTTTCTTTCATAACTTGTTTGCCTGAATTTTCTGGGTGATTGGACTATTTTGCCAGCCTGAAGAAGAAGGAAGCCTTCGAAATTGGTGTCTCAATCTTGAGATTTGGTGAAAAATTAACGATGATATGGCTTGCCGATCAAAAACACCATCGATGAATAATATAAACTCCCCCTCTCTCTATCATAGAGACCTCAAGTCGACAAAATGAGACATGTATTCAATGACAGTACTACAATTAATGTAAGGTTGTGTGGATGCAAACCCTATGCCGAAGAAACTATCCGGGTCTTGCTGTACGCATCAAAATCTTTAAGATCCAATTTGTCCCGTATCGATCTACAGACCTACCATTGTTCCAGTATCGAAGCCTAGCAAAATGTTTGTATCGACTTTATTTATTTTAGAAAGAAAAACAAAAGTGGAGAATACGATTCGCTAACCCCCTGTGAAATTCTGAATCCAACAGTACCCCATTCGTGATATTTCAGCATGACAGGAGCTCATATTTGGTACAAAACCGATTTCGAGCCTTGCTGTAGTAATATATGTACGGATCAATTATCTCTCATTATTAAAAGTTATGAAAAAAAGCTAAATATAACTTTTGAAAGAATTTGATAATTGAATAAAGGAGAAAAAAATAAAAATGCTTATCCAGCTCGAAAATGAATCTCTGGAAATACTAGTCCGAAGATATACTATTCCAATATATCGTTGGAAAGCGGAGAATTTTAGAAAAAACAATATCGACATTGTTTAAATAACTATTTCATTGTACTTGTGTGAAAGAAGAAGTAAAATATAAAATCATTTCATGCATATGTTTATAACCTTTAATATATTTATTTCAATCCATAATCAATTGATCGTACAGTACATGATCAACGGATCGTACAATCCATAATCAACTGGTGATATAATAAATAGGACTTTGGTTATTTTAATGGTATTTATGATTTGTTAGCTGTAATTTTTTAGCTTCAGCTCAGTTAAAAACACAATTCAAAAATTTTATAATAGCCTGATATGGCCAAAAATAATTTCTATTCAAAGTTGAGCGGTAAGTGAAAGTTGTGTGTTGCCCTCACCAGATTTTTACTGGTGTGGTGGCATAATTTTAATTTTTAAGGGATTAGCTGAATAACAGTCTGTATCATTTTAACAAAATTGAGTTTTTGAATAAATAACAATAACTTTCTTGTTCTTAAGGTATATTCATGATAATACTATTACCATAAGAGTTTAATGAAATAATTGTAAGTTCCTTTTTTAAAAAAAAAGCTGTTAGCCTGATTAGTAGTCAACTTTTATAATTTACAATAAAATTTAAAAAATCTGCATCGACCATTATTTGGCCAAACTGTTTTTAATTAGAGGAAATGTGTTTCCTACTAAAATTTTCCAAATTAGTTTTCAAAATCATATTGACACTATGTTGTTTTAATTTATATAAATATTTTTAATTTTATCATCTGTTGTCTATGTTAAAACTTTTTTTAGGTGGTATGAAATTGAAATAAAAAATGGTATTTTAAATGCACAAAATAAATTAATGAAATGAGTAGGTTCTCCATTAATGTGTTGTAGCAAGGCTGATCGCTGGCATCATTTATTTGGGGAAAAAACATGCCTATTTTGTTTTGTTTTTTTCCATAACAATATTATCAAGTTCTTTTCAAAAAGAAAAAATATATAGGATTCAATTTGTGTAGTTCCTTAGAGGATATTGAAATGAAATAATTTTAAACAACTTCATTTTTATTATAAACTGTTCAAAAATAATATAATTCAATAAAATAATTTATCCTCATTGACAAAAAGAAAATAAGTAAACAATTACAGAAGAGAGATACCACCTTCTTTAAAGAAAACAGGATAATTTATCTTCATTTTTTTAAAACTATATCCTCAGTCTTCTAATCTCATAACTTTTTGTCTCAAAAACACACATGCTTTTTAAGGAATTAGTTGCAATGTGCTACTTCAAGAGAATTAAGTTTTTGTATTGTTTTTTTTTAAGTAATTTTTCTGAAATCAATTTAAATAATTTATTTTAAAATAATAATTAAAATACTTTTTCCCAGGTTTGGTTGGATCTTCTTAGCTCCATTTTTCAAATGCTTTTATTTAATTTTAACAGGCACCCATGGCGAATAATTGGGACAATATAACTGTGGGTATGAAGGTTGAAGTAGAAAATACCGACTGTGATAATTATTCTGAGGATGTTCCGGATTCATTTTGGGTCGCAACTGTCATGCGAATCGCAGGTGAGGAGATGTTTTAATTTAATTTATTTACCTTAAAGGTTATGTTATTGTTTTTTTATAATAAGTAAGTTATTTTTTTACAGGTTACAAGGCTCTGTTAAGATATGAAGGATTCGGCCAAAACGAAAGTAAAGATTTCTGGGTTAATCTATGCTCTTCTGTCGTTCATCCCGTCGGTTGGTGTGCGAATCGTGGGAAACCTCTGATTCCACCTAAAAGTATTGTTAATTTTTGTTTTATTTTATTCTGTTGTTATAATTTAATCATTAATCTGTTTTATTTATTAATTTATAAATATTTATTTCAGCCATTGAAGATAAATATAAAGATTGGAAACATTTTTTAGTGAAACGGTTAACTGGAGCACGTACATTGCCTTCTAACTTTTATTCTAAAGTTCATGAGAATCTGAAATCGAGATTCAGGTAATTTTTTTAATCATTTTAAACCAATAGTTGAAACAATTGTTCTTAGGTGCTTTTATTTTTATACAACTTGAAGTTAAAGGACATCCCTTTCATGCATATGCCATCTTTTGTTATTGCTACAAATTAACATATAATTTTAGAACACCCAATTGATCGACTGTTGAACAAATCAAATGGTATAAAAAATTAAGATGGTATATCTCACAAAGTTTAAAGCATACTTGCCCAACCTAAGCTCTACCACCAAGGGTTTCCCTTAATTTTTCTACCTACATTTTGATATTTGAACATAATTTTAATATTTCAGATGTGATTTGAACCTTGAAGTAGTTGACAAAAATAGAATCTCTCAGGTAAAAGTAGCGACAATCAAGAATATTGTTGGTAAAAGACTGCATGTTAAGTATTACGATGCTGAACCAGGAGATAATGGTATGTATGTGTCAAATTGTTAAAAAATATTTGTTTAATTATAAATTTTATTCTATAATTAACTGTCAACTCGATTCTTTCGTATAATTACGATTCTTTTACCATTTTCTTTTGTTCTACATTATGGCTAAAACACCCTTTTCGAGTGGGATTATAAACACTTCCATAAAGAGTATAATCCAATTACGGACTGAACATAAGTAGTAGTATTAATTTAAGTATTACAGCTTGCTTGAAAATGGCGTCCTGATCAAAACGTAGCCGGTGTAGAAAAAAATAAAATAAAAAATGGTGAAATAAATACAGTCTATACCTTATATTATTAAACATAATTTCACCTAAAACAAAAACCATATATGTTTATCATTCATTAGAGCGGTTTTCATGTTAAGAATTTTTAGTAGTTTGTAAAAATATTTTTTATTAAACCATTCTGGTGGCTTTTTGATTAAAAAGCTGAATGTCTCGGGTTAAAATCTCGCCATTCTCAATCTTAAATGTCAGTTTAGATTTAGTCTAGATGTTCAATTTTATTTCTTAGAAAGCCTGTGGAAAAAAGCATCACTAATTAAATGACAAATAGTTTGTTTTGTCTGCATTAGTACGGTGGTTGCCAAACTTAATAAAAGCTCAAGAGCCCCTATTTATTCATATCAGTCATTTCCTATTTATTCAGAAATAAGAAGAATTTTCAGAAATTAAAGGCAGGTGAGACAGTATATTGGTCTTAAAAATATCATTATTAGCTATAGTTTCTGTATCGGTCAATCCCCATTTTATGTGTTGTCAGTCTACGTTTTGTTTTCTATGTTCACATGGTATTTTTTTTTATTTCTTTTTTTTTTTACACGAACCGGCCAGCCAGCAAGGACCACGCGTATATCATTTCCGTTTCCCCTTCACACCCTCAGCCTTCTAATATTCCAATACTCTCTCATCCTCCTGCACTGTTCCTCTCGCTCTTCCTTAGTCCATTTTCTCCCTCATCTTTCCCTCCCACCTACAAGAATCCCAACCCCTTTCAGTTTTTCCCTAAAAAGCTCTCTATTTGTGATTTTTAGCCTGTCTAGTTCCTCTTTTATTCGTTTTACATATCCCCCATACTTTTATAGCTGGCAAACTTTATCAAAAATTTTCTTGTTCAGTCTTTCATTATTCACCCTGACCATGTGGCCGTAGAACCTCAGTCTTCTGCTCCTGACGACTGTTTCCAAACATTCCAAATTTCTGTATATTTCTTTATAGGATTTTAGCCTGTATCCCTCTTGTGTTACCTTGGGTCCTTGAATCCTCCTCAGAATCTTGCTCTCAATCTTCAGGATTTTCTCTAGGCTCAGAATGCTGACTGTTTCCATATCATATAATATTACAGGTCTTGCTACTTTATAGTAATGCCTTATTTTTGCATTTGAGGGCAAATTTTCCTTGTAAACATTCCTTGAATTTTATTTTTAAAAAATAAAAATAAAATACATAATCTCTGTATATTTAGACTCTTTTTAAATTAGTTTTTTATGTTTATACTAATATATTTTGATTTAATTTAGGATTCTGGGCACATGAAGACTCTCCTCTGATTCATCCTGTGGGGTGGGCGAGGCGGGTGGGACAAACGCTCGCCGCCCCTCCTGCCTACGTAGATCGTTGCCTTAAAGGTCTGAGGGACAAGGATGATGCTACTGAAGATCTCTTCCCACTAGCCCATTCTCTCCCTTACCACACAGGATTCAGGCACGGGATGAAGCTTGAAGCTGTCGATCCACTGAATTTGTCATCTATTTGTGTTGCTACAATCATGAAGGTTACTCTTGCTTTTTTTTTTTTCTTTTAACATAAGAGATAATGTAGTTAGAACAAACTCAATTAAACTTTAAACTACTGGAAGCACTGTTGTAAAATATATTTTAAAGTTTTATGATTTCGAATTGACTATTGATTCCAAAAAAAAAAAAGCGAAATCATTTAAGTCGGTAGAACTCAAGAGGAGTACTCAATCTCGATTGTCAGTATAGAAAAGGTTGTGGAGGTGGTAACAGTTTTCAATAAATCTGATAAAGTGGATTTAGAAATCTCAAGCAGAATCTCTAAAGCTACTACCATATCTGTAATTGTGTTAGGTAACACAAACTGTTTTTCTATCAGTTCTCTGTGAAGTGAAGAGCTGGGTTTTGAATGAGCGGCTGCTAAGTTAGCTGTATTATGCTGCGATGAAAGTTTCTTAAGCCAGCTATCCATCATGTTGGTGAACCAACGGCGCTTCAAGCATGTAACAAGTGGATACGTATCAGACCTCGAACTGTGTAACTATAGGAGAATATTCTAGAGTACTCTGATGGCTATCGGTTTTTGCCCTAAGTCAAAGTGAAGCGGAGCAAAGTTCATGGACAGCATTCTTCTAACGTTGGTCACTTGTGTAACTTAAAGAGAGCAGATAAAAAATGTCTTCTGCTTATCAAATTATCCCAAAAATATTTAATGCTGCGGAATCTTAGAAATTCAAATTCTAAAAAATAAAACTTTCACCAATGGCCAGAAATCATAATGCTAAAGTGAGCTGATATAAGACTTTTGGAACTTATAGGTGATAAATAGTAAGGATGCAGTAATTTTTAAGGTTTTAATTGGTGCCGACATTTCAACCCAAGCATGGGTCATCATTAGTACTGCTACTTGAATACCTTCAGTGCTCGAAACGCCCTGATAATGACCCTCATGCTAGGGTTGAAATGACAGTGTCCTGAATATTTATCACCTATGATAGGTATGACGGTCAACTTCCTTCCTTCAATAATTCATTAGATCACTTTTAGAACTTAGTGTATTTTCTTTGAATAAACTGTGCAACCAAGTTTAAAAGATTTTTTAAATTTCACGAAGACATTAACAAAAACTTTCTGTAGTGCCCGCTTGGTTCTTGAGATTTTATGTCCAACAATTAGTCATTTTTAGCTCTCTCTCTTTATACAGTTTTTCTCTCCAAAAATTAGGAGGTCTTCTATAATCTTCTACCAAATAATGAATGAAAATGTAGGCTGTGCTTGCCACTAGCTTGAACAACATGTTGTTCCTTCAATGATCACGTGAAACACTGCTGAGCATTTGTAGGACACCCGTGTTCGTGAACCCAGTTCCCATAAACAGAGTTACAAGAATGTGGAGTGGTGTTGGTTCGCTGGATTTATTACTTATAATTTCTCTAGTTGTTTTTGTTTATATATATATATATTTTTTTTTTCAAGTATGAACGATCTTTAATTGTTAAAATTAAATAAGAAAATTATTTATTCTCATCGCTTCTGTTAGTACAAAGGTCATTTGTAAACATTGAATTTTTTTATAGAAGAGAGAATCATCAACTGATTATATCTTTGTTATTTAATAGTATAATTACATATTTTATAACCCTCTGCTATTTTCTGTAGTAGCAGACTTTATATTACAGTTGCTGACTACAAAACATCACCTTTGCACTTACAGTAGCATTATATTTGTTTATTCATGTTTTTTCAACTTGAATTATGAGGACTGTAATCAATTTGGCCTACATAACCTCGTTATTTTAACATGTTGGGGATGGAGATCACGCCAAAGAACCCGATATTTTTGTAGGTCACCTTTTTATCTTGATTTTGTGATCAAGTTTTCATAGGCGTTCATGAGTTTTTAGCGCCTCATTAAAATAGACAAAGTTTGCTGATCTCCAGATTGAGAACGCCTCAATTCCGAGAATTTTCATGAATAAAAAAGTTATAGGCTATGACGAGATGAAGCTATTCACAAAGTTTTTGGTGGATGTTAATAATTTGATAAAAATGTGTCTGTATTTTGGTCTATAAGGTTAATATAATGGAGTTTTTTGGTTTTGATCCCAATATATTTTGAGAAAGAGAAATGTCAAGAATGAAAATTAACACACTTAAATCTTAGCTTCTGAACTGGAGTTGTTCAGTATTATCTAGATTTATTTGCTCTTAATGAGCTATCATATATTTTTTTTAATATTAATTTAGTTCATTACTTTTGTCGCTAGTAGTTCATAAAACATATAAATAAAATGGATACATTTTTTTATTTGCTAATTTAAATAAATTTATCTTTTTTTTTTTTTTTTTATTTGCAAGTTTTATCTTTTATTGTATAGGTTCTCAACGAGGGCTATTTGATGATCAGAATCGATACATATGATGAGGACTGCTCTTCCCCCGGATCTGACTGGTTCTGTTATCATTCTTCGTCTGCTTGCATTCTTCCTCCTGGATTTTCGGCTCTAAACGGCATCAGCCTCACACCACCCAAAGGTTACAACCCCTCAACATTCAGTTGGGCCGACTATCTAGCTGAAACTGGTTCACAACCTGCGCCAGCTGAACTTTTTGACATTGTAATTATTTATTTGTTTATTACTCTTCAGTTTCGGTTTCTTTTCGTTTCAAAATTAAGTTTTAAAAAATAATTATTTTTAGGAAGCTCCCGAACATGGATTCACGGTTGGCCAGAGGCTAGAAGCAGCCGATCTGATGGATCCAAGGCTCGTCTGTGTGGCGACTGTTGCCCAAATCGTTGGGAGACTTATCAAAGTAATTCTGTTTGATTTATATTCTATTATTTTATTACAAAATCTGATAATACAGTTATTAAATACGTTTATTAATAACTTGTAATTATAATAATTTTAAAGGCAGGAGATGGTTCGGGGTGGCGGTCATAAATAGGCTAAATAGTGACAAAACTATTTTATTAAAAGCCAACGTTTCGACCCGACTTTGCAGGTCTTGTTCAGGTAAGTGTGTTCAACAAGGAGTTTCACTTAGAGTTCTGAGTGAAACTCCTAGCTGAACACACCTCCCTGAAGAAGTCCTACAAAGTCGGGTCGAAACGTTGGCTTTTAATAAAATAGTTTTGCCACTATTTAGCCTATTTATGACCGCCACCCCGGACCATCTCCTTTCTTTATAATAAAACGGTCAACTATTAAATTATTCTATAGTAATTTTATTATTGACTTGTTTGTAAGTGACTAATATGTATGTTTAAATGATTTTCGAAAGCTATTGTAGAAAGATTTTTAATTATTAATTCCAGAGTTTCTAATCAGGGAATTTTATAAGGTAGGAGATGTGGACACAACTTTGCTTTTATGTTTTAATATTCATGGTCACAATAACTTTAAATAATTGTGATATATACTCAAGTAAATTTATGACACTTTAATGTTAAGTATTGTACTGATTATTATTAAAGATCAGTTATAGTCTTATTACAACTATTTTGAAAATGAATTTTTTCAAAAATGACTGAAGGAATTTTGACATACCCCATCAGGATCTGTGATACCCACTAGTCTGGGAGTACGCATGTCTGTTCTAGACCAGATCCGACAGTAGTAAAGAACTTCCTCAGTGTGGACCCGTTTGAGGTTGTCGCCGGTTCCATTCTTCCAAAGTGTCCTTCCAGAGGATCATTTTCCATCTCCGTCTTTACGAATCCTCTTTCGAATGTTTGCAGGTAAATCTGTCAAGTCGTCCATCTTAATGATGTGTCGAAAAAGGTCTTCCCACAGGAGGAGACCAAGAGGAATACCTTCTCCTAAGACCTGCATCCCCTCATGAGCAATCTTGTTTGCTTTCTGATTGCCTGTGACTAGGAATCCTTACCAACTACAAGGTCTCAGAGCTGGCGGGAGTCTTCAGTTTACTTATAATGAAAATCAGAAATTTATAATGGTTGTTTGGCCTAGGTAAACTAACCTATCCAGCAGTATGGTTAGTCTTCCCACTACTTTTACCTCAGTCCCCCCTCCACTTCTTGTGAATGAACCATTGATTTCCAGATGTTCGGAAATCCACCACACACCACCATCAGTACTTCATTCACTACCTTACACGAAAATTCGGAACATCATTAGTGCCCCGGAATGCAATTCCGAATGACCGTGTAGGGTCCGCTTAAGAATTTCCCTCTCTTCGTGCATTGTGAGGATCCAGGTCTCTGATCCGTAAATTAGACCAGGCCTAACAGGAGTCTTGTATGAGAGACACTTTGTATGGTGGAAAGATAGGAACTTCTCAAATGCTTTCTGAGACCAAAAAAGCACCTGTTGGCTTTAATGAGTCGCTGACTGGCTTCTATGGAGATTCTGTTTCCTCAACTCACTTCTGACCCTAGGTACACTGGTTGACGTTCTGGAATTGGACCATCACCATTGGCTGTCAATCGGTCCACTGTCTCTGCTTCAGTCTCAGCATTGATATACTTGTTCTTCTCCTGGTTTAAACACATTCCATATCGTCCGCAGCTTTCGTAAACTAAGCCTTGTGTTCAATCCAGTTATTTGGGATATCGGCATCTGACTTTAGTGTCTAAGATATAGATCAAGAGCAAAGAAATAAATACATAATTTGTTTAGATAAGTATTTAGTGATTATTAATTTCTTAAACATATTGTTAGGTTCACTTTGACGGCTGGGAGGAGGAATATGACCAATGGCTAGACTGCCAGTCCCCAGATATGTACCCCGTTGGTTGGTGCCATCTAGTGTCTCATAAGCTAGAAGCGCCACATGCTCCACCTTCAAAGCCGAGTCCACAATCTAGTAAGTAAGCTTAGTTGATAATATTTTTATTATTTATCAGTTTTATCTTGGTTTGCCTTGCCATTGCTTATAGCTAGCTGTCATCGAAATAATTTTATAGTTTATGGTTAATATTATAGAGATTATTATTACTTTATATTAAGTTTCATATTTTCAAGCTTATATTAAAGGGTTCCCATATAAGTGTATAAGGTTTCCCAGGATTCCAGTTCATAAGTGTCCTTGTTTGTTGAAAGGTATGTCAAGATCAGATTGATCACACTGTACATGAAATCCTGAAAATAGCCGAATGTTGTCGACTTTTATAAGTCTCAGCTATTGTCCCCACCGCCCGTTCTATTTTTCAAACTGTACTGCCTATTTCTTTTTTTTATAAGAAATAGAATTATAATAGATTTAACATTTATTAACTATTTTAGCACAAGTTAATAAGAATAAAAAAAAAATTACAGATTTTATTGTTTCTCTTTGATCATTCTGATCAATATATTTATTAATATTTGTTGTTCATTATTAAATTAATCTTCATAAATTCATTTGTTTTAATTCTTCAGAATCAGTCAAATAATTGTGTTATATATATGAGTCTTAGTGTCGTTAGATAACGAAACACTAAGGAACAATAATTTTCTTTCAAATTTGTAACATAACTACAATACAAGTTAGTGCATAAAATGCTTCTTTTAATTTTTAAATTTGCCACAATTTTCTTGAGTTATGAGGAATCCAAGATAGTGCAGCTCGTGGACTTCATTATGATAAATACTGTAATGGTTATTTCTTACGCAGGCCTGACAATTTTTCCAGATTTGTTTATTTGATCTTTCCTTGGTTTACAAGGTGCTATTTTTATGCTACTTCAGCTAAATTTTAAAATTGGTCAGGGACCACCTACATGCAGTATTTAAGAATGTTGATGTTATTAGTGTAAAAAAGGAGTTGTTCTACCCAATTTATTTTCCTGCTGCTGTCATTTACCACAGACGAATTCTTCAAACCTTGCTCCTTTCAACTTTTTCATAATGAATGTTATCATTCTAGTTTTTTTTTTTTTTTTGGAGTAGCATGAATGCACTGCGGCCATGAAGGCCTATTGTACGCCTCTATTAAAGTCTTTCCTATTTAGAACGTAATTCCTACAGTCTCAGTGAACTGTAGCAAGATTGTTGGGTTGACGAGCTCATTTGCCTTGGGATCAATCACCCTATCAATACCGAATAGTCGGAATCTTAGTCCTGCAAACCTGTCGCACCAACAAGTGATATGATAAAGAGGAGACTCAATGAGCCGAAGATTGAACATATGATAAATCAGTTTACAGTGTCCAGTATATCTCACTGTAATTTTCTTAAGTGAGCCTCTGCTCAAATTAATTAGAAGGTTGCGTCTTTTGTGACAGATTCCTTCCAGGAACAATCTAGAGTGAGTCTGTTTTTTTCAAGCACCAGTTCTTTTTAGCTTCAGCACCATAAATCTCCCCAATCCTGTTATTTATTAGACACTGACTAATTCCACAGATGAGTTCAGGAGCTATGGGAATTTTTATTGAGCCTAGTCTGGTAATCTCATTACCATAAATTCCAAAGTGAACCAGAACCATTCAATGTTTACCTTATTAAGTCTGGATAAGTCACTGAGAATTCCCATTTAATCCTCAACAGCCTTAAATCTAGTTGTATTGTTATCCAGTGCTCGTACAGCCGTTTGACTGTCAGTATATATAGAAATTTTCCTCCTTACTAGCCCATCAAGCAACATTTTCGAGGCACAGTGCGTTATCGCCAGTATTTTAGATTGGAACAGCGTTGCATAATTGCCGAGTCGTATTGACATGCCTTCCTCTGGTTCATCTTTTCTCCGAAAGCCAGCACCAGATCCGCATGTCATAAGTGACCTATCAGTATAACAATTAATCCCGTTAATTCTGTTCTATTTAAGTTCTGAGTGATTTTGTGTTCTCTTATTGTCTTGTATAATGTTAATCTTTCATTTTCTTGAAAAAAAATAAAGAATAAATTGTCTAATCACTAATATCAATTAATTGTTAATGACTAGAAATTCATTATGATATTTTTTTAAGTATTTTTCTCCTAATTTATTTAATTATTGGCTCTTTAGAAAATAAAACAGAAAATAAACAGCCTGGTAAACGGGGTAGAAAGCCTAGGAGAGGATATCATAGGAAAAATCTGACCAAGGCAGTTGAGGAAAAGCTGGCAGATTTGAGCCATCACCAGGTGCCTGGGCCAGAAAAGGAGTCTCCATCTAGTTTGCCCGTAACGTTAGTTTCAAACACACCTAACAGCCAGCCAACCCGGCCAAGTGGTAAGCAGTTATTAAATAATTTTAAAAAATTATAATAAATAAAAATGAATTATTGAAGAAAATTGGTCAACTGTTCTACATACATACATATCATGTGTAATTTATAGTTATGACGCAGTCAATTTTTAAGATGTATAAAAAATAAATTGTTACTGTTTCTTAGTTAGTAGGAACTGCAATACTTTCGTTGAACAATAAGTTATAGTTCACTATATTTCTACAATTTTAATATTGTAACTCAGCTTGTTCAATAACATGATATTATAATAATATGTCTTAACGAAGCCAAAGGTTTGATGCTGATACCACCAATCGATTTTCTCATTCTTCCATCCATCGGGCGCCGTCTAAGCCCAACTCTGCCAGATCGGTACAGCACATATTAACTTTTTAGGAATTCTTTCATTACTAAGCCCAGCTTTTGCATGCCCATTTTCTTTGCCTCACTTTTATCATCTCAATTGTATTAACTGGATACTGTTCGCACAATTCAGCATTGTGTAACCGCCAAAATTCTCTGGTTGACTCATCCTTCTTCGGCCTGTATATTCTGCTCAATACTTTATTTTCAAAAACCTTTACATATTGCTCATCCCTTAATGTAAGCTGCCACATTTCGCATCCATAAAGAACCAAGGATAATGGTTTGTTAAATTCTAATTTTTGAGTTTTGAGACAGGAAGCGCTAACTAAATAGTTTTGACAATGAAAAATAACAAGCATTTCTCGCCTTCAACCTAACCTTAATCTGTTCTCTCTTCAATTACATTTACGAAAAATTTTCAAATCTCACTTTTGAACAGAAATACATGTTTTGAGGTCCCTTGAGTCCTAGTAACCAAGTCCGGAAAAATTGTCTGTGTTTGTGTTAACAGTCTAACTCAAAAATGAAAAGCTATACAAAAGTGAAATTGCATATTTAAGGTTATATTCCTGGGGTGCTATAGCAACTTTTTCGTCGAAATCGTCTAACCGGAAGTTGCATTTTATGTCATCGATTTGACTCATTTTTACGATTTTCTCGAAAATGGTTAACGATTTTGATTAAATTCATTATATTAGTATAAAATTAAGCAATTTTTAATATAATTTAGATTTTATTCTCTGACAGGGCTTAAATGGCTAATTTTCAATATTAGCTTTCTCTAAAATACCTTTAATTTCTTTAATTTGGAACAATTAACCATTTCACATTGATTTCTGACATAAATAATTGTTAAATATAAAATATTAAAAAAATTTATAATTAACTAAAGGAGAAATAAGAGATCGTAACAGAGAATAGTTGTAATGGAGGAATCAAACAAGCTCGCCCGAAAGATTAGAACAGGCTTCTCTACCTAACATAAGCTTAATATAATACAGACTCCGACAATATTATGTATGTACATATACATATGCGGTTTTCATAAAGGGTATCGTTGGTATTATTTAATGATTAGTTATATATATTGTAGCGATATAAATATTAAAATTTGTATATATAAGGGCACATAAACAAATAAAAATATAAATTTGAATGAAGTATAAATAAATATAGTGTCTATAAATTTTACTTTCACTTTCCCTTTGTCTGAAAATACTAATTTCTTCTAAGAGGGTGGTAAGTGAAAGTTTTATGATGTGCACACTGCACCAGATTTTTTCAGTATTAAGATTAAGCTTATAAATTAAAAAAAAAGTTTCACCAAAATCATTCCAAAACATAGGTTTGTTTTTTCTAATCTAAATTCATTAAGAATTTTTTTAAAAATTGATGATTATCTAAATTGTAAAAACATTCTAGGAAAAAGTTATTATACTTACATTTTATGATATCTTCTATTTATTTATTTACAATTATTATTCCATTTTTGAATCCATATAATATTTATTACAGGTGAAGTTGTTGATGATATCAAAGACCCTGATCTGGAGATGGGAGAAGTTCCGATTAAAGATCAAACCCTCCCTGAAGAACCTCATGTCAACCCTCCCAGTGTAATTATATTTTGTTTTAATATTGATTAAATTCTTCATACTTCATATTTTCAGTTAAGCTTTAACAGTTGTTACACTCATTTGAATTAGTGTTATTACCCAACTAAGGAAAGTGAAACAAGGGTTACATGTTTGTGTCATTCCCTAAGAGCTATTTAACGCTCTTTTGAACGAATGGCTGGTTTGGTTTTTAAGTTTGATGGCTCAAATTATTCGGTGAAATCCGCTGAGTGTTTTTATTCATTTTGAGCTAAAAAAAAAAATAATAATAATAAACTGTGATAAAAAAAAAATGTTTTTAATCAATTTCCAAAAAGCTTTGTAAAGTCCTTTTGAGGGAACGACTGGATCGATTTTCAAGTTTGATGACTCAGATTATTCGGTGAGATTCCCTACCTATTTTGAAATATTTTAAGCTAAAAATACTATTAAAACGGTGATTAAATTAAATGTGCTTAAATCAATTTGCTAAGAGATATGTAATGATTTTCTGAGCGAAAAGCTGGATAGATTTGTAAGTTAGATATATTGTATTATTGGCTATGGTTCCGCGAGAGCTAAGAAAGTAAAACGACACAGGGATCATGTGTTAAGGATGTCTGCTAAAAGGTAAATAATGATTTTTTGAACGACGGGTGGTTAGATTTTTAAATTTGAATATAACACACTGACCCTTGATTGAATAAAATGTGTTTGATCTTTTTGTTTAATGTCTAAAATTATTCGGTAAGATCTTATGAGTGTTCTGAAAGAAATTAGCTCAAAATTCTAGCAAATTACTTTATAAAGTATGTTTAATCATTCCCCTAAAACGTGTATTATGATTGTTTTTGAGCAGATGGAATTATCAATTTTTAACTTAAATGGCTATGGCTGTAATTACTCAGTTAAATACTGTGAAAGTTTTGAAATTATTTGAGCTCAAAATCCTGAGAAAAAAAATTTTTGTAGTTTAAATATCTCGATTATAAATTAATTTGAAATATCATGTGTTAATATGTAATATTAATATAAATATTTGAATTAAACAAAAAAAAAATGAGTGTAGAAATTAGAAAATTCTATGCACCCTAAGGGAATGTACTTTCATATCTACTTAAACATCTTAGTAGATTGATAGGGAATTTGACATCTACGAATATTTAAACTTGGTTTAGTTGTCGGGTTCCAATTGAAACTTGGGCTTTCAGATGTTGACATGCACCGATACATGGGAAAATCTCCATTTGCCTGGAGCCGTAATGTGTAGCGCAGGCACCTGATTATTATAACAATATACCAAATTTAAATATTCGTAAATGTCAATTTCTCTAACAACCTACCAAAATGTTTAAGTAGATAATAGAAGTCAATTTTCTCAGGATAGATAAAATTTTTCAATTGCTGTAGTAGTTTTTTTTTTTAAATTCAAATATATATATTTTTTTACATTATATGCACAGAATTTGTTATTTCTATGATTATTTTATATTTGATGTTATCAGTAGTTAACCTTTTATTGATTTGGCAATATTTGTCTTATTTTATTTATTTATATTTTATTTTATGCAATTTGCACCTGCGCAGCTGCAAATCTAGCAATTTTGTTGTGTTTTTACTGTCTTGGTGTAATTGCTTGACTTTTTTATGTTGATGTTTTTATTGATGTAGTATGTCTCTTGGCCATTTTATTCTTAATCTGCATTGTTCAGGGAGCAGGAGATAGAAAGAACCAGAGAATTGGAGGGATTTTGGGTTGAAGAATGAAATGTAGTGTATTTGTCATGGATGTAGGATTTTACTGTTGGGTTGTTTAAGTCGTTATGTATAGTATTATTTGAAATGTACCAAGGTGCCTTAACAAGTTTTAGTAAACTCTTCGATTGTGCTGTTTGTATTTTGTTTATGTGTGTTTGTTTTGCCGTATCCTAAAATTCTGCTCCATATGTCCACATTGGTCTCAGTAAGGTTTTGTAGATCAGTCGCCTGTTTCATAAGTTAAGTGAAGATCTGTAGTAAAGCAGATGTGAAAGTTGGCTAGTAAGTTCTTGTCTTTTTAATTTCGTATGTATGTTCCAAGTAAGTCTGCTGTCTAAGTAGGGTCCAATGTACCATACATAGTTCTTTGAAGGCACTGGGTTATTGGCAATCGTTATGGGTTGACATGAGGCTTTCCTAAGAGAGAAACTAATGTGGGTGGATTTATTACTATTTATTTTGATTTTCCATTTTTCAAACTACTTTTCAAGATCATGGAGATGGTTTCGAAGGGCTATTGATGCGATAGTAGGATTTTTGTGTGAAGATAGAACAGCGGTGTCGTCGGCGAAGCAATAAATGGTGGTTTTAGGGTGCTCAGGGATATCAGAAGTGTATGTACAATAGAGGATTGGGCTTAAGACGCTACCTTGTGGTAGGCCGATGTGTTGGGGAAAGAAGGAAGAAACAGAAGAATCTACGTAAGTACAGAAAAATCTATTAAGAAGAATTAAAAAATAAGTGGAAGGTAAGTGGGGTTTTAGTTTCCATAATAGGCCCTTGTGCCAGACACTACCAAATGCTTTCTCTATGTGGAGAAAGACTGCAGAGCAATATTCCTTTTTCTTAAAAGTAACAGAGATAGCATCTACAATCTGATGGAACTGTTACACTGTAGAGTGATAACAAGGAAAGCCAAACTGGTGATTTGATATCACTTCACTACTTTCTAGAATAGACTTTAGAAGGTTCAGTATGAGTAGTTTTCAAATGTTTTTCCCATTATTGGAAGAAGTGCTATAGGATGAAGGAGTAGTGGTAGATTTTGAAGGTTTAGGAATCATTTTGATTGTGGAGCGTTTCCAAAGGAGAGGAAAATAGGTAGTACGTAAAATGGAGTTATAGATGTGTGTAAGAAACAAAACAGCTTTTCGAGGTAGGTGTCGAAGAATAAAAGGAGTGATTAGATCATAGCCAGGAGCTTTTTTGTTTGGTAGTCTGTTGATTTCTTTGTAAATTTCTTTTGGATAAAATGCCGGTGGGGTAGTGATAAGGGTAGTGGTGTTGTCAATTCTTCTTCTATTGATTTAGTAAAATTATTGTCCTATATTGTGTTAATCCCAAATACTTGAGCAAGATATTTAGCGAATTCATTGGCTTTTTCTTCGCTTGTTATTGCCCAAGTGTTGTCTGTACGTCGGAGAGGGTATTGAAGGTCTTTTTTCTTTAGTATACATCTTGTTGTTGTCCATATTGATCTATTTCTATTGTTTATTGTGTCTATATAGTCTTTATAGCTGTCGTTTTTAAATTTTAATAGTTTTTCATGAAGTTTTCTAGTTAGTTTGTTGAGTTCTATTTTGTATGATGGATATCTAGTTCTTTGCCATAGGGTTCTAATCCTACATTTTTCTTTTATAAGATTATGTATTGGCTGAGATAGGTAAGAAGCTGGTTTAGTATATGTCTTTGGTGGTCTCGATGAATGCCAAATAGCCTCTTGTATACTTTTTGTTAGGTCGTTGACTGCATTGTCGAGGTCGTCAGCTGTACTAATTAAAGTGTTTAACGTAATTTTGTTGTTCAAAAAATGTTTAAAGTCGTCCCAGTTTATTAATGTCGAGGGTTTGGGTTTAACGAAAGGGTTGTTCGAAAGTTCAAGTAAAATGGGCTATGATCAGATGAAAGGTCAAGGAGGGAGGAAACGTTGGAATATGTATGTGGTAAGGAGCTTGTGACAAAGAAATCAAGAAGATCGGGAGACTTTGATAGTGAAGTAGGCCAGTAAGTAGGTTGAGATGGCGAAATTACAGAAAATTTCAAATCTTTGATACATTTTTGTAGTCTTTTTCCACGAGTATTGGACACTCTAGATCCTCACCTTGTGTTTTTAGCGTTAAAATCTCCTCCTACAATTTAACTAACTAATTTTCCTGTGCGAATAATCCACACATTATGCTGTCCAATGAATTATCTGTGATATAATGTAGAAATAAGCACTGTATTATGAGAGGGTGAAATTAATATTTTTGTAAAAAAAAACAGGGAAATCGGACCATTATTTACAAAGATACAGTCTATTGTAATTTAGGTATTACTACTTCTAAAATTGTTTTCAAAGAAGTGTTATAAAATATTAACTATCATTTTGACACGTTCGTATCTTTTTTAACCCTGATTAAGATCTACAAAATGGGTTGAAACATCAGTGTAAGCAATAAAATACCGTTATAATACATAGTATTTAATTTGACCGCACCCCCAACCAACTCCTCAAATTGTATTCACGGTCAACTATGCCCACACGATGATAAAAATGAATACTAAAAAAAAAATTATACAAATATTAGTTACGCAGTTGTGAATAGAACAATGTCCTTTTGTTTTATTTAACTTTAATTTTATGTTTTCTTATTTTTTAGGAGAAATTGGAGATACCAAAACTAATACCAAAGCTTATAGATACAAGTGAAAATGTCGACTTAACACAAGTTACACCAAGTGAATGGAACGAGGAGGATGTAGCCCAGTTCATGATAGTTAACAACTGTGCCGCTTACTGTGATAGATTTACTACTAAAGTAAGTCAAATTTTATTTCAAATTTCAGCTAAATATTAATTTTTTAAATGACCAAAATATCAATGGAAATGAAGTTGAAATATTTTTTACATGTATAAGTATAAGACCTACTAGTGTACTATATAATTTATTTTGTTATATGATTATTAGTTTGTATGAAGTGTTATGTTATATCCTTTTTTTTTTTTTTCTTTTTTTTATGAAAACATACGGAAAGTAACTTAATAGTTTCATTTATACTTAACTAAGAAAAATTGATTAGAACATTAAAATGGTTTAATATCTCCATATTGTTTTAGATCAAATTTGCTTGGCGTGTCTCCTCACACAATTTTCCTTACCACTTACGAAAAAAATTGGCCTTAATTTTTTTTTTGTGTGTGTTTTTGGAAGTTTTGGAAAGTTTCATCAAAAAAACACGTTTTTCTGGAGTCATTTTAAAATCAAGTTGCTTCTCCCTACAACAACTCAATTTAAATACAAAATTTATTTGGAGGTGTTATAGAGCTGGAAAAAAAAAATTATAAAGAAAAACAAGATACACCGTTTAGACTTGTCAAAATTTATCCTTGGTTATAGGTTTAACGGGTATTGTTTTGCCAATTATCCAACCCTTCATAACGAATTTCAGCTTATTTTACCCAAAAGGTTTTAGGTGTTGAAATGTAGTGGGATAGTGTGTCAGACATCTCGGAAAACCTTCATCTTATCTTAACCTACAAGTTTTCTATCTACAAAAATTCTCATGAAAAAAACTCCTGAATATCAATTTGCTTCCCATTTGAATTGTAAGATGGTCTTAGCACAAAATCGGGGAGAAAATATAGGTCTGTTTGGCCTATATTGTGTTATTTTGACATGTTAGGAATGGATATCATGCCAAACGGCTTTTTTCTCGATTTTGTGTTTTTTCATGAGTTTTTAGTGTCTCATTATATAGACAAAGTTTAGTTGATTTTATTGAAAACATCTCATTTACGATAAGCTGGAGACATTCACAAAGTTTTAGACAGATGTTAATAATTTGGAAAACAAAAAGGTGTTCTGTACCATGGACTATATATAATCATATTCTAGGGGTTCTAAAATGGATATTAAATGCATCTCTATCACTCTCTGATGATCTTCGCTATGATATTTTGAAAGAATACACAGTGAGTCCTGCAATAGTGTTATGGTATTTTAGGATACATCTCTGAATCAGTTCATATTATTGCTTACCTAATTCTTAACTGAATTTGAAGTAAAACAAATATTTTGAAAAATTGATGTACAGTGTTCCGTAATTATACGGCACTATTTTAGGTATGTGTTCGCTAACACAAAATAAACAAAAAAGTTCATATTAACATATATCTCAAACTCATTTATTAAACAGATATCAAAGGTTAAAGATTTATTATTTATTATCATTACAACATTTAAAGTAACTGTTCAAAGGGGCATCCGTTTTGTTGAGTGCAACATTCAGCACGACGAATCCATACTTCTCTGGCTCTTCGTTTTGCATCAGGATGGTGCTTGATAGTTATTGCGGCTTCCACGATCCGATTTCTTAGCTCTTCTTGTGTTCCAACTGCCATAGAATAAACCATAGACTTCATCCAGCCCCACACAAAATAATCTAATGGCGTTAAATCCTTAGATCGTGGTGGCCATTTAACAGGTCCGTTTCGACCAACCCAACGGTCTCCATAAGTTGCATTTAAATAATCAGTGGCACTATTAGAAAAGTAAGCTGGTGCACCGTCATGCATAAACCACAGCCTTTGCCTAATGCCTAGCAGAATATATTATAAGAGTTCATGAAGATTATTTTGCAAAAAACTGCAAGTAAGATATACCTGACAGCGTAGATGGCAAAAAGGAAGAAGGTTGTTGTCGCTTAGAAGAGCACATCAGACATTTAAAGAAAAGGTATCTTGATAATGTCCAACAGCAGTCGTATGAGGGTTCTTCTGCCCGAGTATTTTGAAAATTAAGAATCCCGTTTCTTGTAAAGCAAGATTCATCAGTAACCACCAAAATGCAGTTCAGGATGTTAGGATTTCGTGTGTATTGTCGAATTAACCACTGGAAGAAATTTCTGAGGTTGTTATAATCTTGTGGTGACATATCTTATCTTCTCAATACATGAATTTACGATTTGGTATTCTTCGGTTAGAAAATTTTTCACGATATCTTCAAACAGCAGCAGCACCGTTTCTATGTACCTCAACATAATTTAAAAGCATGTCTGTTTGTCCTGCAAAAGTGAATAAATTTGTGATGTCTTCCATGATAATCATAAATTGAACTGTGTTTTAGTATTCACTCACACTAAAACACACAGAACTAGACAAACAGATGAGCAGCTACTGTCACTGCTTATTGGTCATTTATCAGGTGATTGAAACCTGTTATCTTTAACGTTTGATATCTGTTTAATAAATGAGTTTGAGATATATGTTAATATGAACTTTTTTGTTTATTTTGTGTTAATGAATACATACCTAAAATAGAGCCGTGCATTTACGAAACACCCTGTATATTTCATTAATTCTGATTAAATCTGATTTTTGTTAGAAAGTCCTCATTATAAATTATTAATTGATTGACAATTTTTATCAACTTTATGCTGCAATGAAAATTAAACTATGTTGTCTTAATTATTAATATGGAGTAAAGTGTTTGGATTTACGGAATATTATGTATAAAGTGAAGATCTTATGATCGAATTCTGGCCTGTACTTCACAGTACCGCTGGTCCTCACAGGAAGTTAGATTATACCCCCTTAATTAGGGGAGGTAAAGTTACAGCTCTTTACTATGAATTTACTTTGTTGTAATTTTATTATTAATACATCATTGGTTTATTTGAACTATCAGATTCTATAATGTTATTATTATTTTTTATTTTTTTTTTGTAGAAGATTGATGGTAAAACACTTCTCACATTGACTAAAGACCAAATCATTGATCTGACTGGAAAGAAGGTTGGTCCGTCTCTAAAGATATTTGATTTGATTCAGCAGTTGAAGATCAAAGTGAAACCCGGTCAAGAAAAGCGAATAGGAATGAAGAAATATTTTTAAATTCTCCAGTGGACAATGAGAGCGACAATCACCATCTTCACTATAAAATGTGTCACTCATCGTTCTGTTGATTATAAGTTTTCTTTTTTGTTGTTTTATTGATACGGATTATTTTTTTAATTCGTTTTTACTTCGTTCCAGGATAGAAATAAGCAAATAAATCGAAAATAATGATGTAGCATGTATTGTTTTATCTAAACATTTTAATTGTTTTTAAAGATTCGTTTTCAAGTTTGTTTTTTTTTTTTTTTAATGTATAAAAGTGGACCATGGATGATTTTGTTCTCTTATTCTTTTTTATAATGTGCTTTTGAGAAGTTTATTTTATTGGATAGTTGGTCAATTACCAATCAATGTAGGTTATCAAATCCATGCTAATTTTTATTTTTAATATTTTTACAAGACTTTCTTTTTTTCATAATGTTTATACTCATCAATTAACTATAAAATATTTAATTTAATGTGCTGATCAGTAATGTGCCTGCTTTATTTTGCAAATAATCATAAATAATAGACGGGAAAAAATAACAAATTTTTAAAAATTAGTTAAAAATACATGTTTTTATAAAAAACGAAGTATCATTTGTTAAAAAAAAATTAATTAAACTTTGTCACTTTCATTACTCCAAAGTAAATTGATTATTTTTTTACTTGCAACATATATAAAAGCATCAGACTATAATATTCAATAACTATTGAAAAATTTATCATTAAATCAATTTCGTTGATTATGCTCTCTGTAAATATCGAGCCTATTAATGACTTAATTTTCAGTTATAAATTGTTGAATAAACAACACTAAAGAAGTAGTATTTTGAATAAAGGATTTAGTTAGTCAAAATTTTTATATTGTCAGGTTACTTTTGTAAAAATTATTAGGGAGATAGGGAAAGTAATAGCGTTTAGGTAGTTGCATGCTAATCCTGGTTAAAGGACTGTTACGTCATTCGTACGTTCAAATCTTTATTCGTAAGTAATAAAATGGCGTATTTTTTAAAATTATTATACAGTAAATTTCATAGGTTTTTTTTTTTTTTAAATTTTCAAATGATATTTTACCATGAGCTTTGAATTCAGGGTGTCTACTGTTTATTGCAAAATACCATTTAGTAACATTTTGTAAATTAAATCACAAATTCCTTTGTTGAATTTTTCCACTCAGAAATAATTTTACCTATTTTGACATTTAATAGAGTTTTTATTATTTTGGTGGCCTTGATTGAAGAGTTTTGCATCATTTGATATGTTGGAAATTGACAAATGTGTTCTTAAAAGCGTAATTTCATCAAAAATTTAATTAATGACTTCGCAATAAACTTACAATACATTCATTTTGAACCGTTCAAGGTAAAAAAATATATATATTTTTATTTTATTTATATATAATTACTGTTTTGTTTTTTTTATAAAGGCTGAATTAATTTAAAAAAAAAAATTGTATTACCAAAAAGTTCTGCTTTTTTTTTTTGGTTGATACAATCAGTTTAAATCTCTAATGAATCTATGTATGTTAACTATACTGATTTTAGATCAAATCTGTACCAATAAAAGAGACAAATTTTTTAGAAGTACAATTTTTTTTTGCCAATGACAATAATTGTCAATATCAGGGATGAAAACTATTGGAAAGAAAGAAAAATTTCTACCGAAACCAAAAATTTTTATTTTTCTATCTGTAGACGGCAGATCTATATTTATTGCTTTTGTCTTGATGATCCACGACTTGATTTAAATTATCGATGAAAAAGATATTTAATTTCTTCATGTTCACCAATTACTCAGAATTTTGACTGGTTTTTTTTCTGTTATTTTAAAGCAAAATCTTAAATAATATAAATGAAATGGGAATTTTCAGTAAAAACTCAATTTATCGTTATATAATTAAGTCCAAATATTTATTGTTCTCTTAGTTATGCATTTTTTGCTTTAAAACTTTCTCCTGCCATCTAAATAATTTTGAAAATAATCTGTGAGAATTATTCCCATTTTCAGCGATATATTATACCCTTAGATTCAAGATAGTTTTTGCAATGATTAAATTGTGATTGCTTACGGCGCTTAATAAATCTAAATTACTAAGCTTCTGCCATTCGTATCTGGAAGAAAAATATTACTACTTATTAAAATGTAACATAAATTATGAAAATATTTAAAATATAATTTTTAGTTTTTATTTGTATTTTATTCACAACTGAAAAGAAATTGGAAGATTGTAAATAAATTATGTGATAAGGTAATAAGATTTAATTTCATCATTTGGAATCCACCCGTTTTAGAAAAAGATAGGCACATTACTATACTGTTAAGATAGTATTTATAAAAAGGTTACTGGTCTTAATAAATATTACGATTCAATCATTAAGGAAAATTAAAAATTATGTTCTAATCGTTTTCAGATGCTTTCATAGTTCTTGTATTTTCATTTTCGATCTGTATTCCTATTAAATGAAAAACACTTAAAAATTTAGAAAGATTCTACAGCCTGCGAAAGTGTACAAATTTATTTTTATATATTTAGATGCTAAGTAAAATAGATGCTTATTATCTGATGTTTTACTACTTAACACAATCTGTAATTTATCACCAGTGCCTGTAATATATATATATTTAGAGTATGTTTTCCATATCTGTTCGCCAGTATTGGATTTCATTTATTGATGGAAAAAATTGTAACTTATTCTCTTATAGTTATGAATAGATTGTTAATAAATTGTTTATATATCGCCAAATTTAAGAAAAAATAGTACGTCTTCACAATGACGAAATTTATTCTTAGATTATTTGTATATACATGTATATCAATGATGATAACAATCCTTGTTACAATTGCTGTAAATAAAGCCGAAGATAGTTTTTAAGCATAATGTAAAATTAAAAAAAAAAAATTAATCAGTTGAAGATTTTGTAGTTCTGTTAATTTGAGTTAAAAGGCTAAAAAATAGTTTGAAGTAGAATAATGTAGAAGAGGTAATACAAGAATCAAAAGCCTGTGTAATTTAATTTTACCATAGATTTCGAGCACATTATTATTTTATGTTAGTATTAAAAGTTTTTTTTTTTACAAATACATTTACACAATAAGAATTCATAATTTATTTATCCATTTAATGAGAAAAAAAAATAAGAAAAGAGGATTTATAGACCAAGATTAGATGGATTTTATATTAAATTTATTAAGAAATTATTGGTATCATTTATCCCACTTGACCCTATATTAGTGCTAATATTTCTCACTAGATGGCATGGGCTGCTCAACGACATCAATTTCACCAGAAGGGTTTTCTCAGCTAAAAACCAAATCCTAAACCCTATTTTGGTTTGAAGGAAGACAAATAAGTGAAAAGGTGAGTATACATTCAATGATTCAGTCAAAAGGAATGCAATAATAAAGAGAAATATCAATGAAATGTGTAGTAAGAGGGTGGCGCCATATTCCCCCTTAAAGTAGTCCCCACAGTTAATATAGTTTCAGTATCATTCCCGCCGCGATAGAGCAATTCTTATCTCGAAAAGTGTCAATAAAGGCTCAGATGACATTTTAGCAAAGATAGCTCAGTGCAAAATGGCCAGTTGAACTGCAGAGTGTCGGGGCGAGGCGGCGTATGTATACACAGGCCCTGGGCCGTTCAGCTGTTTCCCGCCAATAGGAGCCATAACAAAACGCTGTGAGGCGTTGTACGTATGGTCTGCTCTGCGGGTTAGTGTGTATCGGAGTTTTTTTTCTTTAAGATATTTTATATGCTTGTGAAGGAATCGTAATTAGTGGTTTTTTTTGTTGTGATCGTTATGGCGTCTTTGAGTAGGAGTGAAGACAAACTACGCCTAGAGGATATACACCAGTACGACGAGGAGATCGGCTCCTACTGCAGGTAGGTGCTCTCTTGTTTTTCGGCCATGTTTACAACAAATGAGTACTATGATGTCACATGTTTTGAATTACATTCCGTTATGAACATATACCGTGCTTTACTCGAGTGATAAGTTGTGATTCGATATTGTGAAATTGTAAATTAAATAATTATTTACTCCTGTATCGATTAATATCCGGTTTAAGTATGCCGTACTGAGATAGAAATTCCTTCGGTAGAAAAATGCACCGGCAGGTCAGCTGTTCGTCTCGACCGAAACTCATTACATTTCATCTGTTGATATATTAAAATGTCAATTAATTAATTAAATATATTGATCATGATAAAATGTTATTGATAATTCTAACCTATAAACTCAATTATACATTGAGTGCTTATCACTGTGATAGTTCTTATTTTCTATATTTTATCACAACTAAAAAAAGATAAAGGGGAAATATTAACGGAATTCTGAATTTAATATATTTTCATCCATAATAAAAATACCATTTTATCATTTTGATTTGGATTAACTTTTATTTCATCTAATCCCACATTTAATGGAATATTGAATTAATTTATCGTATAAAACCCTTATCCATAGCGGCTCATGACCGCTGTTGTACATTTTATCCAACAATTTTTATCGTTTATTTGGGTCGTTTTCTTTTCAAAATATTTCTATTTTTATTTTATTCATTTGCAATTATCGGCGGGATGAGAAATAACGTGCCCAGGTGAAAGACGTAACGACCACATGTCACTCAGTGCCCATATGTCTGTCCCTCCCCACCCCAGCCCAGAAAGGAAGCCTTGCCTTGTGGTATAGATTTTCTGCCAGAATTATCAAAACGTCTCCTTCGCTCCGACATGAAACCGTTCAAACAACTTACTTATTTCATGATTTTACGTATGGAACATTAAAAAAAAAAAAAAAAAATCGCATTAAAATATTCAGATAAAAATATTTAGAAAAAGTAAAATTAAAGTTCTGATATTAATTTAATAAAATCTAAACACAGAAAAAAAAATGTTTATAATTTCTTTTATCAGTGCATTTTTCCTTTTTGTTTATATTCTAAAACAGTTCACAAACATGTTATTGTCAAATAATGTTTATAATCTTGTTTGTTTATAATAAAACTTTTGATGTGTTTATACCTCTGTTTTTTTTTTTTTCAATTAACATGTTATTTTTTTGTAAATAGAATTAATTTGATACAGTATTATATTCCTTAGTTTGACAACTATGAGTATTTTATTTTTAAAATTAATTTATTTATACTTGAATACATGTTTTAAAAAATATATTTATAGGATTTATATTTTATCAGTAGTTTAAAAAAGCTATGACGGTTTTAGACCGTTCATTTGAATAAGACCAAGGATTTTATAGTTTTGAGTTCAAGGCCATTTTATTTTTTCATCTTTAATCCCTTGATTTAATGTTAAATTAATTTTTATTAAAATGAGAAAAATAATATATATATATTTATAATCTTAAAATATTAATTTAATATCATTTAACTTGTATTTAATGACCAATTGAAAAGAAAACAAAACAAAAATAAAAGCCAATATAATTTTTTGAAGTTTTCCAACTGATAATAATTTTACATATATGATTTATTTCTTACAAAAATCTCATATAATTAATATTGGTAACATTATTCTGAAATTCGCTTAAATATTCGTTTACAAAACTAAAAAAAAATCAATATCATTGTTATAAATAATTTATTTTTTTTTAATATAAAGGTTACCTATTGTTGGAAACTTCATTTGTTTAGTCCAGTGATTAGTAAAGCATAGAGTGGGATATACTAGCAATCTCTAAATTTTATAATGTTACATACCGACTTGAAGGATGTCAACGTCTCTCTATTAGATTTCATTTCTTCAATATCAGGTTTAGACCTTCCCAAAACCGAAGAGTGTAAATTAATAAGTTCGTGAGTACAAATATCCATTTAAAAAAAAGAAGTTAAATAAAACAAAAAAAAAAAATTCTTAAATGTCTCTAGCCTTCATAACGTGTTCTGATATTTTAAAAAATAAATTAATTATATAATACAGTTGGTCTATCAACTGGCCAACACTTACTTATGGCTGGTTTGAACGTTTGTTTTTAAATAACATATTTCTTTCCAGACATGTGTGTTTAATGATCAGTGGTAGGATATGGACCAGCATATGATAAGGCTCAACTTGGAATGTCTTATCCATATTGTTGCCTCTATGTTATTAACATTTTGAAAGTGTTATGGCTAATAAAATCTATGATTGTTGTAAACTATATGCCATTAGAGTTCACCCCTATTTATAATATTGTGTACCTATGAATATCAATTTACTTTTTTTTTTTTTGTATCAGTTTTTATGTCTTTATATATGTAGTTTATTATGAGAAATTTATTAATAAAACAAAAAATTGAGACATAATAATAAAACGAAGGGGGTTGAGAGGGGGCTTATGTAATGGGCCGACTATTTTGAATTGGGCAGAGAGTGTAGCGTAGATTTAGTTGACGGCCTTGGGATCCTTCAGCTGATGTAAGCAGCTGCATCCTACAGCTGCTCCCGGCCACAGCTGGTCTTTTTGTCTGTGTACATCTCTCCTTTTCACCAATGCAACAATCATCATCATCATCAAAATATTATTATCTAAATAACAATAATAATAAGTATATTAATGGTCAGTTTACTAATTTTATCTTAATTCATCATCGATGTCCACCCTTACAAATATTTTTATTTTATTTTAATAACTCATTATATTTATATAAAATAAAATTATCCACTCTTAAACAGGGCTACTAATTTAAAAAAAAAAATATTTTTAACGGTATCTCAAATAGCATTTTTAATCCTGATAAATTCACTTATATTTCATACCTTTAAAAACACCAAATATTTGTATATTTGTATTATTTTAAGTATGTTATCCCATTTATTTTATCTCATAATTTGAACAAAAACGTACAATTTATATTTAATAATAAAAATAATATTTTCAGATTTTTTTTATTGCTGCACGATTAACTGAATCTTGTGTTTATTTTATTAAATATATTTATTTGTTCGGTTATATCTCCCACCATTTTTATTTCTTTCTAATATTCATATGTAAGATTTTTTTTTTTAATCTTGCAGTACCTCCCCCTCTCCAAAAAAAAAAAAATGGGAAGCCCAATTTAGACATTGCCCCTAATGCGTCAATTTTTAGGTTATGGCCTTTATTGGTTTCATCCCGGCTGTGAAATATTGTGCAAGTTGCGCTGCCTCGGTATGGCTTCTGTCTACCGGCTTCCCTTTTTTATTTCATTCCTTTTTATTTTAACTTTTGTTAGACGCCTTTAGAAAGTAACACCAACAATGTGTTAATAGCCACAAGAATTACAACTTTTTTAAATTAAAAGAAAGTTCAAATATCTTTCTTCCTTTTTTTTTTAAAACAAAAGATTGGTTGGGATGTTCAGTCAAAAGAAAATTGTTTGGGGAGTTTTTACCGAATATCCTCAACCGAACTACTCTTCAATTATTCACTTCAGTCAATCATCAATCCACAATTAGGAATCTTATTCTTAGTATTACTTTACTGTCCATTTCTTACCGTACCTCAACCATATTTTTCTTATAATATAATAGATATATATATTTAGCGGTGGGATGTTTCGAAACCGTGTGTTCACAGATATTTTCTTGGTTTCCTATTAATGTTGCCAGATTAGTCAAGTATTTTCTACCTAAAATTATATAAATTTTCTCTTAAATTCACCAATTTTAACCCTAAAATTTTAATTTTAATTTTTCTATTAATATAACCAAAATTATCCCCATAAAATAAGATGAGAATAAGTTGCAAAATAGATTTATTTAACATTTTTATGTTAATTTAATTTAGTCTATAACGGACAAACCCTAAAAAAAAAATTATATCTAGGGGGAGAACCCCAATCTGGCAAACGTGTCTTCAGGTTAGCCTTAAAATGGCGGGATAGTTGTGACGGTTATTTAATATGATATGCTCCTCTTTCTAGTAATTCAATTATTGTATATTTTAAAACTGAATATGGTTAAATAGTTCCTTAAAATAGGTAGGAAGATCACATATTTTTATAGCATCCTATTTACCATTTGTCATCTTTGTTTTCAGCCTGTCTACGGAGAGGTCGGACTCTCCGGTGAGCACTCGGGTCCACCACGGGGGTTCGATCCCCGGCGGGATGGAGCAGGAAAAGAGGATTCGGAGGGAGATCGCCAACTCCAACGAGAGGAGGCGGATGCAGAGTATCAACGCCGGTTTCCAATCCCTCAGGACGTTACTCCCGCACCACGAAGGGGAGAAGCTGAGCAAGGTAAGAACATTTCATACTAAGCAACCTTTGTTTCAAGTCTGGTAATCAGAAAGAATTTATGTTTATACTAAACTGACTTGAGAGTATATTTTAAATTAAAACAAACATTTAATTTGATTATGAACCTCATTAAAAAAAGGATAAAAGGTAAATAAGATGATCGAGTACAGAAAAATGTAGTTGTTGTTAAAAAAATAATCAGATTGGAAAATGTTAGGATCGTTTTTTCTGATATGTATCCATTAAATAAACCGCGGAGGTGGTCTTATGAAACCACTCTGTTTTTCAACACATTTTTTTTTTTTCAGACAATAAATCTGTCGCGATTTCTTGTGTTTTGAAAAGTGCTAAAATTGAATCAGTTTTGGCTGTACATATATGGACAGATACATGAAAAAATTATTTATACAAAAAATCTCTACAGAGTGTTCTGTGAATAATAGGAAATATTTTAAGAGATGTTGGTAAAACTTAAAGAGATTTCGTCTTGTTTACTATGCTACAAATGGTTATTACTTAAATTTAAAAAAAAAATCTTTATGACTTCCTTTTCAGCAAAAAACTGGATATTTAAAGAACAATTCTTCTTTTTCTTCCACCCATTTGTCTTAGAGCGCGAGGATACTTCAAGTCATCGGTGCCATCCGTTTCTGTCCGTGGCAAGGTTTTTCCATAGAGACTGTCCATATCCGAGCGTATTCGCATAAATTCTTTGAATCGCTCGTACTCCACTACAGGTGATTAGCCCTGAGGAGAGGAGACCCCGATTCGTCGGGACAACTGGTTGCCAGTTATACTCCCAGCATCGAGTCTTCCCAGGAGAGGTGATCCTGAGGTGTGTACAATAAGCGTCCTTATTGTCAGTGTATATGGAAAGTGTACTGTTCTCTTGTGTGAAAGTGTGCTGTGTACTGAACTTAGGAGACCGAGGGATTCCCACTAGTAGGAAAAAGAAAAATTCAAAATTTAAATTACTAGTTTTCTATGTGGGATCGGACGACTATCTATACAAACATTTTTGTTGCTATTGAGTTCAACCTAAACCTTTTTAAATATTCCCCAAACAGGACACTATGTAGAGATTTTAGAATAGTACAATTTTTTTTTTTTTCCATGTAAACTGAAGATATGGTATCAGATTTCGTCAACATTATTGCCTGAAATTAAAAATGGCATAAGAACGGTGTAGGTTAAAATGTAGTTTGTTATTAGTTGGTTTAAACCTATTGTAATTTTGTATTTATTTACCTATAGAGAATATAGAATATTTAATAGTTGACGGTTGCATTATAAAGGAAGCAGATGGTCCGGGGTGGCTAAATTAAATAGGCTAAAATTTGGCAAAACTATTTTATTAAAAGTCGGGTCGAAACGTGGGCTTTTAAAAAATAGTTTTGCCACTATTTAACCTAATTATGACCGCCACCCCGGACCATCTCCTTTATAGAGAATATAATTAAACTTCTACATCATGTTTGATCAAAACTAAATTATATTCCAATTTATGATGTATAATTATTTTTTGCCTATGTGCATGCCGATAAATTGTAATTCAACTGCAATCCAATATAAAAAAAAGGAAAATACTGTGAAATTTCTGATTAAAGTATATTTTTGGATTGGAAATTGTTAATGAGTCTTTTTTTTTTTTTTGACGATGTGATTACTATAAAGTCCAGCTAATCTGAAGGAAACTATGTATGTGGAAGTTTCTTTTACCATCTATTAAAAAATCTGTCTCTTTTTCCTAAATAAATAAAGAATTAGTCCCCATCGGTTGACCTCTATGAAGGGATTTCACTGTTGCATGATATTGCGATTTTGTTAAGTTCAGAAAACATTTATTTTGCTTCTCTTGTTAAAACATGATCTGTAACTGTTGTTTTTTTTATAAAGTACGGAATGGTATTAGTCAGCTGGTACGGGCAGGTACCGTGTACCGCCTCCTGCCCTGCCGTGACACCTCGGCCATTTACCATTCGGTGCACGTCGGATGGCCGTCAGCTGTTGGGTAAAGAGAGGGGGGGCCGTGTTTAAAAAACAGTCGAAAGTTACCTACAACAGTTATTTGTTTACATCCTTATCTTCTCGTCGCTGTAGTCATCCTCCCCTTGTCTGATGAAGGTTTCCAAGAGCATTACCGGATTATAATCAGTTTGCTTTTAATGTAATTAGGTTGGGTCAGCTTGGACCCATGTCCTGTATATTCTCAATGGTCTGGTTGCGTTTGGTCGCGGTGGACCCTCCCAGTCAGCTGTTTGAAGGATTACCTCAGGTAGCGGGGAGGGTCTTCTTGGGGGAACACATAACTACCAGTCAGGAATCATTCACTTATATTATTTTAAACATTTTTTCTTTTTACTTTTTATTTCGTTACAATTTTATTTTAATATTAATTGGTTATCCGGTTTTTTCTTTTAATAAATATTGTAATAATAAAGTATTTATTATCTGTAATAAATATCGTTACTAATAGCATATGCAAGCTTGTTTACTTCTTATATTGATTGGAATTTATGTAAATATAGCAGTCGGTACTAATGACGTCAACACCCACGTGGAGACATTATTGTACTGTCTACAGTGAAATCTCAGCAATCCGAATTGGAAAAATATAATGAAATTAACAAATTGATAGAGGGATTGCATGGAGAATATTTGGTTATTTTCATTCTAATGCGAACTCCTCTCTCCCCTCCCCCCCTGCAATTTGTTCAGAATATTGAAATCTCACCGTATTCTCTGGTTATGAAAATGCCATATTTATAGTTTTCTTTCGATCCCTAAACTTTATTTTTTAATTCTGAAACTATTGTTTTGTGTAACATTTCATCCTGTCACAATAAGAACAGATAATGTAATTCAGATCGAAAAATATATGTTAAATACATACTTAGATACTCTATTCACAACTGGCCAACGGAACTTCGAATCAGGCTTTTTTCTCCACCCCTAAAGAAAAAAATCAGGACTGCAGAAGGTCCCTGCCCTACTCTCTCAAGCGAGACCACTTTAGTAGCATAATACACATGTTTTGAGTGACTATTGCCGAAACTCCTCCAACATATATATATATATATATATCTACCTAGTGCATAGTGCATTGACCATGTGTTTTTTAAAGGACTTTGGACTGAAAGGATTGAATGCGTTTTATATTAGAAAGTTTATAGCTTTTCCCCACTGTTCTGTTCCATTACAAATATAACGTAGTGTGTATTTCACTTTAAACGTAAGGACATTTTATGTTTTTATTGGATTACTACCTACATCGCTATTTCTAGCATACGGAGGTGTTGTTCTTGTACCTCTAGAACCTACTCTAACTTAAGTGGGAAGGTCGATATAAATCCGGCCGGTCCGCCACGAAATAAATCTGAACCCGCCCAGAAATGTGTGATGGCTTTGAGTCAGTCCTATATTAAAGCGCTTTGGCTGAGTTTTTAATTTGTAAGTGCGTGATTGGACTTATCCATCTCCCGGAAGCGGAGTTTTAATGTTTAAGCCATCTGTATTTTTTTCCTTATAATTCTGGGAAAAATAAACTTTGTTTTCCTTGTTATTATCCTGTTTAATATTTACATTTTGTCTTGTATACACTTTTCCCACCAGACTTTCTCCAGAATAAGTCGTGCATATTTGCATTTCAAGAAGACACGGAGTCAGTTCCGCTCCGCAATATTTCTTTTTGCGTTTTACAACGGCAGTTCGGAACAACTAAGTGTTGGAAAACATTGATTGGATTATTTCTGAACTTTAAATCGATTATATCGAATTTATCCACGCTACGTCAGCTGACATCAGCTGTTCTGTACCCACCAGTTTTTTCCACCATCAGCGTGTAGACTATGATCTTGTCTTTACAATACATCTATGGTAGAATAACTCACCATGCAACAGAGGCTTGATGGGGTTATCGGTCCTGGTCCCTAAAGGAGAGGGAAAGGGCTTTGTGAAGGTAGGGTTGTGCTACCCTCTGAAGGGTTGGGAACCTGCTTGCTCAGGTTACGACACAGGAAGCTATGTTCTAAGGTGAGGAAGGGGTGAGCTGTTGTTATGTTCTGTCAGCTGTTGTTCTTATTATAATTTTCAACTCTAACGTAAAGATATAATATCCTAAGCTACCTAAGCATTGTACTCATTTAATTGTCGATTTCTATAGCATTTTTCGGGATTCCCAACCTATATTGTCAACCCCTACCATAATCATCGACTGCCCCAGGTGGTAACTAAACCCGCAACGTTCACTGCCATCCTAATGTACTCTGTTTTCACATCAATGTTGACATTACTAATATCGATTCTTGAGTTCATTTTTATTTTAAGTATCGATACATTTAGGAAGTTGAAAGAATATTTTTATATATTTATATGTGTGTCCGTCTATTTGTCTCTCTCAGAACGTCTTAAGACCTCTTTGGAATCAGTTGATCTCTTTAAGTCGATGGGTATTTAGTTTTAGATCTGTTTTTTGGAACTATTTATTTATTGAAAAAGTCTTATTGTATATACACTTTTGCTTTTGTTATTGTTTACATTGAATAGTTATAAAGATATATAAATATAAATAAATATATATATTATATATATTTATTATACTCATACTTCTTAACCACTTCTATGTAGTTATGTATAAGCTTTATTGATTATCCTAAAGATTAATCAGCAGGCTGTGTGTCCAACAACCCAATATAATTGGGCAGTAAGCTTTTATATTTCATATGAAAATAAAGTGTTTCTCTCTCTCATAATAATTGAGCTTTATGCCAAAGTCATTACTGATTGCTCACGAATCCACAACGTTCTTTGATGCATTTGTTATTAATCCAGCTCACAGAGCAAGTTTGTCAGTTTAGGTCGTTGATACATAACTGATAAAGACGAAATTTTAAAAATTATTCCTACGTTTTGTTTGGAAATTTACAAATTGGGTTAATTTTGTCCTTATCAAAAATGTAATAATTGCATAATACGATATATAGGAGTTTCTTCTAAAACCT